TCCAAGATTTACTATTCAAGTTCGAAATATATTTTCGAATTTTACTTTGTTTTGTTGAATTTCTCAAGCCAACAAATTGGCGACCACAGTGGAAGAAAAAAAAATTGTTGATCCTACATACAAAGATTTCATACTCCAATCTGGTTGAATCGTTGCAAAGAACTTTCATTGCAGGTTCTCAATCCCAAAGCCTTAGCACAGCCATCGGGGCACTACGGCAACGACACCGTCAATCTCCACTACGGGGATCGTCTTTCAAATACCATATGAATGGTTAAATCATATTCAACAAATGAACAATCAGCAACAGCAACCTTGAAGATAATGTTGCACGAGCAACAAAACTGAAACTGAACATGTTAGATCAACCTTGTTGAGAGTTACACTTCACTCCACGCTTTCACCTCCAGGAATGTCTCTGTTGCGCCTTCAGGAAAACATCGCAGGGCCGTCATTCGTGGACAACACCATTCCAAGTGCTATTCCAAGACCGTCATTCGTGTACAGTACCATCCCAAGTGCAATCGCAGGGCCGTCATTCGTGGATAGCACCATTTCAAGTACTATAACCCCTAGTAGGGCAGAAAGAGGGTAAACTCCCCTCACTTTTTCAAATAATATCCCTCTGGGGACTCGGTTTGAGCCGTTTTAACAGAGGGATGACCGACTTGGAGATCATTCTCATGATTTCATTCCAGTTCCAGATCATCATCCGGTTGGATTGGACCTAGACAACGTCATACACGAGCCAACACTGTGGGAAGTCGGTTGGCCTTATAAGCCATTGGTTGGCCGGCTTTGGAAAGACCAGCCGCCGGGGGATCCAAATACGGAAGCCCAACCGCTGGAGGATTTATGGCCCAAGGGTCGGCTGTTGATAGGTCGGTTTGGCAAGAGAACAAGGAATACCTTGTCGGAAACCGAATTGACGCGCAAGAAAATGGGGTTGGTAGTTGAAGACTCCCAACCGTCATTTCTTGCGCCAATCGAGAGTGACGTTCGGAAGTCGAATGAGGAGTAGGCAAGTTGTTGAGCACAAAAAAATAAGGTTAGAGTTTAAGGCCAGAAATGATGTATGGATAGGCATAGTGGCGATCCAGTGGAGGGCCAGAGTCATTCGGTCGGATGGTTGTTGGGGCCAGGCCAGTCAGACAGTTGTCCCTACGTACATTCATCCGAGTTTGGGCCTTGGGACGGCTACAAAGGTTACCGACGTAGAAACTGTTTTAGTGGGATGGCTGGTCGGTTGGTCACAAAGGTTATCGACTAAGAATCGAGTTCGGACGTTACAACAAGTTCGGACAGTTCAGGTCGGTAACCGACAAGGAAGTGAGTTCGGACTATTCAGGTCGGTAGCCGACGAGGAAGCAATTTCGGGCGGTTCAAAGGTAACCGGCGTAGAAGCGGTTTTCTAACGGTTACCGACGTGAAAACAATTTTTTGACGGTTACCGGCGTGTAAGAAGTTTCTGATGGTTACCAACGTGGAAACTGTTTTCAAGGGTAAACGTCATGGAACCGGTTCTGAACGATTTGGTTTGATACATATTTAAGTAGTCTCAGCGATTGAGGAAGATCATCTTCAATCATACAAAATTCCAAGAGAATCTCATTGGGGATCACCACTTTATTTTCAATGTTTTGCTTTTTTCTTCAACTCTTTATTTATTGCTTGAGAATTTATAATTTCAAGCTCTATTGTTTAAATTCGAAATATTTCGAATTTTACTTTGTTTTGTTGGATTCTAAGCCAACAATTATATATTATATTATCATAAGTTGTTAGCATATATGATGTATCTTGTATCATCATATGTGGTCATATATGTGTTTGTTGCGTTATATATATTATATATATGCTAACAGTGTCAAATCAATACATACTAAATCAGTATGAAAACGGCAGCTTCGTGACATAATATACCTTTATATATTTACTTATTCTTGTATCTGTTAGAACTGGACCAACTAAATACTAGTATGATATTGTCGGCTTTAGACTGAGCCCAAACGGATTTATTTTAGGACTTCCTTAAAAAAGCCTTATACTAGTACAGTTCATTTGAGACTTATAAGGTGTGAAAGGACTAGGCCAATTCAACACTAGATATGATATTGTTCGCTTTTGGCTAAGCCCGCACATATTAGTCTTAAGACTACATCCAAAAAGCCTCATGCTAGTGGAGTTCATTTGATACTTATAAAATGTGGAAGGAATAAGCCAACTCAACACTAAGTATGATATGGTTCGCTTTGGGTTGAGCCTGTACAGATTTGTTTTAGGACATTCTCCAAAAAGTCTCATACTAGTGAACTTCATTTGAGACTTATAAGGTGTAGAATTTTCTTCACCTCTTCAAATGTGGACTTGGGTTTGCACTCCAACAATCCTCCTTTCAAACCCAACAATCTTTCTCTCAAACCAAGGACTAACAAATGGACCTTCTCTGCATATCTTGTACCGCCTATAACAAAGGGACCCACTGTCTGACCAATTATAACTGTCAGGACCGGCCCAACGCCAAGAGACTTTCGACACAAGACAGTGTACCGTTTATCACAAAGGAATCCACTATATGACCAACCACAACCAATACTCATTGTCACCCAGTCTACTTCACCATCGAACCGGGCTTTGATACCACTGTTAGGTACCGTTTATCACAAAAGGATCCGCGTCCTGACCAACCACAACCAATGCTCAATGTCACCCAGTCTACTTCACCATCGAACTAGCTTTGATACCACTGTTAGGATTGGACCAACTCAACATTAGTATAATATCGTCCAGTTTAGATTAAGCTCGCACATATTTATTTTTGGACTTCCTTCAAAAAGCATCGTACTAGTGAAATTAATTTGAAACTTATTACATGTAAAAAAATTTTCACATTCTTCCAATATAGAATTTGAGTTTCCACCCCAAATATGTTATTTCCAAATTTTGCATTTCATATCGTATCTCTATTTATTTATATCATAGCCTTATTTGTTTACTTCTATAATTATTTAAACATTTTACATGACATATCATACCCACTCATTTACTTGCTCGTATAATTATTTTTTAAATAATCAATGGCATATGATACCCGTATTTATTTAACATCATATCCATAATTATTTACTTGTTCGTATAATTATTTTTAAAATTATCCATGACATATGATACCTCTTTTTATTTATTTGTTCGTATAATTAATTTCAGTTTTTTTTTTTATTATTTTTTTCACATAGAAAATTTTAAAGTTAAAAGGGTTTGCTTGGTTTTGATTTGAGTTTGAGTTTGTGTTCGTGATTTGAATTTTATTTTTAATAAAATTTTGATATTATAATTTTGTGAGAAAGATCAATTTATTTTTATTAGTTGAATAATAATAGTTTAAATTTATAACAGAAACCAAATATACCCAAATAATTTTTAAAAATTTAAAATAAAAATTACATATTTAATTAATTTGATATTTTATAAAGTGAAATAATAATTTAATGCACAATTTTTGGAGATGTTATCAAATTAAACAAAAAAATAAAAATTGCCTACATATATTCTTGGGTGCAAATCCCAGTCCCAACAGTGGTATCAGAGCTCGGTTCGATGGTGAAGTGGACTGAGTGACATTGAGCCTTGGTTGTGGTGGTGGGCTACCCTTGTGACCTGCGGGTGAGCCCTTTTTTGGAGGAAATTCAAAAATAAATCCGTGCGAGCTCAGTCCAAAGCGGACAATATCAGTGTTGAGTTTGCCCAGTCCTAACAGTGGTATTAGAGTCTTGTGTCGAAAGTCTCTTGACGATATTGGATCGATCCCGGTTAAGGTGGTCAAGCAGCGAATCCTTTTGTGATAGACGGTACAAGGTGGACAGGGAAGGTCAATATATCGATGAGGGAAAAATTATTGAGGTGCAAAAGTCATCCCATCATGTATAAGGTCTTGTCTTTCTATTTTTGGAGGGTGGGTATGTATGTAAATATATATAAATAAAACTTCTATAAATAATATAAAAATAATATTTTACTTTAAACAATTGATTTTATGAATAGATATAATATATATATATATATACACATGTATTATGATAATATATAAGTCAACCAAAATTATATCATTATTCATATTTTTTTAGTTGTTTCCTAAATTTAATGTACAATCCATTTAGAACAGATAACAATTAATTTATTACTCCCTCTCTTCCGTCCTATGTAACTTTGGTATATTATTATAGATATGATAATTTAGGTACATAATAATTAATAAGTAATTAACAAATATTTTAGTAAAAATAATTATTGTATAATAAAAATAATTATAAATTAAAATTAAAATAACTAAATAATTTAATTAGAATTAATATTATATTTTCAAAAATAAAAATGAGAAATTATGTAAAAATTATAAAAATAGAACATAAAGACAAATGACAATAAAATGGAGAGAGTATTAGTATTATTTAAATTTTTATCAATTGATTAAGAAATTTTCTATAATATATGTACTTTATTTTTATTATTCTATATTAATATTAGAATATTATTATTTTTTAATTTATGTACTAAATCAAATTTACATAATTTTACCGGAATTACTTAATATATATATATATATATTAGTAATATTAATATAGAAACATGTGAAAAATTTTGGTTGGTAAACGCATTACACATACTTTTTTTTTTATTATTTATTTAAAATTGTAATCCAAACGCGGGATTTCTTTTATGGTAAGTGCATATAACTATTTTGCTCAACGTCAATGATATCCAATGCTTCGTATCCCGTCTTTCATTTTCCATTAATTTCCTCACATTCTCAGCGTGTTGTGTTGTGTTGTGTTGTGTTCTGCTGTCGCGTAAAACCCGTGAAACTTGTTTGCGGGTTCTTCAAATTCTTCTTTCAGAATAAACCCTCACTGCACTGCACTCTCAAATCAAAATCGATTACATCTCACACCACTTTACATTATTTTGTTTCGATCATTTCTGAATTGCAGGATTAAATTATTATGGATAGGGTTAATAATTGGGAGAGGCTTGTGCGAGCGGTGCTGACGAGGGAGCGCGCCGGCCATGGCCGGACCGGCAGCGGTATCGCAGGAGCGGTGCCGGATTCGCTGCAACGGTCCAACATCAACGCGATTTTGCAGGCCGCGGATGCGATTCAGTCGGAGGATCCCAATGTCGCGAGGATACGTAAGTGTTTTAAGGATTTTGTTTGATTTTTTTCGATTGTGCGCTTTATTGCCAGTGAGTGGTATTGATGCATCGTGCATGTATGGATTTGGTTCGTGACGAGTGTAAAAACATGTTGATCCATATGTTTAAAATGTTAGATTTTGGTTCGTCTTGTTTTGTCTGGAGCATTTTTGGTCAGAAAGTATTTCCATGCAAGTTATATCCAAGGGTTGAGTGTAAACATCAAACAAGAAGTGGATGGAAGTAATCTAAGTCTCCTCAAAAAACAGCTGTCGAAACATGTTAAAACAACTCATATATTTATGCATACCACTTTCTTTCTGTTCTTTAAACATAATACTGGAGCTAAACATTTGCTTTTTTAATATGAGAATGTATATATATATATATATATATATATTACTTTGAAGTCATCTAAATCTATGCTCCCCAAACTTTTTGGACAGTTATAAAAAAATGATTTTGTTTCTCTTAAGTAAAAAATGACTGAGGGACTATATGATATGCTTATACTTTTTAGGCTGCCATTTAAATCTATAACTCACTCTAATCTTTGTACTTTTTTGTATTATAAAATATAAAAAGTAATAAAAAGTACACATCCACAATCAAATATGTGCTCAAAAGTTTGAGCACATATTTAAATGGCTGAGGGAGTATATGTTTGTTCAATCCTGACAATTGAATTAATGTATTTTGTACTTCTTGGTGTTTAAGTGTGCGAGCAGGCATATAGCATGGCTCAAAATTTGGACCCGAACAGCGATGGGAGAGGTGTTCTTCAGTTTAAGACTGGTTTAATGTCGGTAATCAAGGTATGCAGATATGTATAATACGTGGTTCTGTGGTTGGCCTACTAGCCATAGTGATTTGTGTTTCATTTGTAAAACTTACGAGGAATAATGTGATTTACTATGTGCTCATGTGGTTTTTCTGCTACCCACAGCAATTCAGAAACTGTTTTAAAACTTTACAACAAATAGTGAGTTACATTTATTGACCTTATGTTCTCTTAACTGCATCTGGTGCATAGTGCAAAATAAGAGTTTCTCAAATGTCCTATGCTGTACATGATTTTTTAACTCAACCTTCACTGGCTGTTATGTTTGTCTACTTTCTACAAGTGGATTTCTCTAAGGCTTAACTCTTCTAAGTGGAAAAGATTTAAGCTTGGATTAATGTTTGCTACAGCAAAAACTTGTCAAAAAAGATAGTGGACAAATAGACCGAAATCAAGACATTGAGCGGCTGTGGGAATTTTATGTGCAATATAAAAGGCAACACAGAGTAGATGACTTGCAGAGAGAAGAACAGAAATGGCGTGAAAGTGGCACTTTCAGTAGTGCTAATATTGGAGTGTAAGCACTATGTGCATTGGTTTTAAAATTTTCTATTTGTGCTTGTTAAATACAGATGCTATTATTCTCTTGTATTAAAACATGTACTGGCCCATAGGCCACTGGATACTTCTGTTCAAGCTTTGCATGTATACACTCGTAGTAGAAAACAAAATAATTTAAGTGCCATTATGAGTTATAACATCTTCAGGCCTTATTTACCGGAGCACAACTTATTTCCTGCAGCAATGTGCTTCGTATGATTCTGAGCAAGGAGTCCCTGTAACTAAAAAATAGTTATGCTAAAAAAATATTTGTAATTATTTAATTATTTTCATGTATTTATATTCTCTTGTCATCGTGAAAGTTGGTTGCCTAAGTTTTTGCTGTCCTCTTCCCTTAAATGTGAAAGAAAGAACCAAAAGTCCTATGCTTCTTTCATATTGTTTCTGTTGTTTATATTGCACATTTGCATTTATATAATCTTTTTGATAAAACAATATTTTCTGACAGAAAGCTGAACATTTAGTTATAATTTATGTCACCGTATTGATATGCATATATACTTACCTCAGTATTTTTATTATCCTTCTGTACCTTCATTTAGCCTGCAAAATAGATTCTCAGAAATGAGAAGCACTTTTGCAACATTGAGGGCTTTGATTGAGGTGATGGAGGTGCTAAGCAACGATGCTCCACCAGATGGGGTGGGAAGGCGCATTATGGATGAGGTAACCCTTACCTTATATTGAGTAAATTCTGTAAACATTTCTGCTGAAGCTTATCAGCAAGAAGCAGTTCTGTCTTGGCTGATTTTTATTTCTTTTGTGGTCTCAGTTACGAAAAATTAAAAATACAACTATATCTGGTGAACTCGTCCCATATAACATTGTCCCTCTGGAAGCATCATCTATAACCAATGCCATTGGATATTTTCCTGAGGTTAGTTGACGTCAATCATAATAGTTATCTTCTACTTTTATATTTTTTCGACAATATTTTCAGCACCCTGTAATCTGTATAGCATATTTTAGTTTGAAAGAGTGCGTCATTCATAAATGACATTCTTACCTTTTTTTTTTTTTCTAAATAGAATAAAATGATTGTTAAATGATGATGGTGTTTTCCTTTCAGCTTTTCTTTGAAAGACTTTTTCCAATAGGTTGAGCTGTTTACTATCATTTGTGCAGGTCAGGGCTGCAGTATCATCAATAAGATTTTCTGAGCAGTTTCCTCAGCTTCCAGCTGATTTTGAAATTTCGGGACATCAGGAGTTTGACATGTTTGACATTTTGGAATATGTGTTTGGTTTTCAGGTTTTGGTTTTCCCTCAGCTTCCTTATATTTAAGTGCCAAGTAGTGAAGGTTGATGGGTTTGATGTGGTTTAATATAGTAATTAGTTATATTAACTGTTTCTTTTTACTTTTCTTTGTAAAATAAGATTTATTTAATCGAAGGATTTATAACATAGACTGCGCTAGCAGAGCTATTTAACTAGGGACTAGATAGGGGTAGACTGAATGGATAGGTTTGTCCTAACAATCTAAACCAGAGGGCTAAAGCCATGAGATAAGGTTGTCGCAACCGTGAAATCCCTTTTAGCAAACCAATCTTCTAAACAACTTACACTTCTAGGAATATGACAGAAGATGATTAGATGTATCCTAGTTAAGTTTCCACAAAGATGTGGATCCATGAACCCATCCTAAAGAATTTGTGGAATCACATTCTATTTGAAGACTATAAAGTACGTAATTAATTAAACATTTCCCTATCAACTTAAGTTTTTAGGTGAGATGGTCATTTAAAATGGTATCAGATCTTGGGGTGAGACCCTTTTTGGACTTCCATGATTTACTCCAAAGTATGGACAATACCAAGATTTCAGCAGCATTTGAATTGTCTATTCTAATAAGCCTGGAAAGGATGAAGATGCTGGTGGTCAAATCCATTTTATTTTTTTTGATTGAAAACTGTGTGCTGTTTGCTGTTGGCTAATATCTTGTGGTTCCATTATATTTTGTTTTCTAATTTGTCTGATACACTGCTTTTATTTGTTACAGAAAGACAGCATCAGGAACCAACGTGAGCATCTTGTTCTGTATTTAACCAATGCACAGTTGCGACTTGGTATCCCTACTGATACTGACCCAGTGAGTGGCATATTCTGGTTTAGTTATGCAAGGCAGTCGTAGAAGTGGAAATGCTATAGTATATATCTTATTATTATTTTTATTCTTAGCAGAAACTGGATGAAAGAGCTGTAAGGGATGTCTTCTTGAAAGTCCTGGACAATTACAAAAAATGGTGTAGATATTTGCGAAAACGGACGGTGTGGAAGAGGTTAGTACTTCAGCATCACTATATTATTTTAGTCTGAAATATGAAACTAACTTTGGTTTGGATTTGTACCCAATAGTTTGGAGTCAATAGACAGAGAGAGGAAACTCTTCCTAGTTTCACTTTATTTCTGCATATGGGGCGAAGCAGCAAACGTCCGGTTTCTTCCTGAATGCATCTGCTACATATTTCACCATGTATGTATTTGATCATTTGTTGAATCATTTTTCTGTTTGGGTTAAATGGTTTTGTTTTCCATGTTTTGCTTTAAAATTTTGTTCCATTGACAATTTGAAATTTGTGAAGATCTTTTTCAATTTGTACTTGCTTTGACTCAATACAGCCACTTCTTCCGCTATCTTTATCTGCAGTTTCTAATATTCAGATATGCAGGTATTTTTTTGCCATAGAGTTAAGGTGCAATTATACCTAACTTATAATAATAAACCTTTAAACTTAATTCAAGTTAATTAATACACATAATGTATTGTGTGTGTATATATTCCGGAAGTAAAATTTATTCATGAAATAGTCTAGAATTCAGGAAGTGATAGGCGACCATCCCTTTGTAAAACTGTACCCAAATGAAACAATGACTACATTATATATTGTTAATTTTAATTATATATACCATTACTGGCTGAGGCTAAATTGTTCTTTTCTATTTTCTTTCTTTGGCTCACACCCATTATTATTTATATGTCATTTATAGATGGCGAAAGAATTATTGGCAATCTTGGATCATGGCATGGTCACTCGAGCTGCAAGTTGTACAAGTGAAAATGGTTATGTGTCCTTTCTGGAGCAAATTATTTGTCCCATATATAGGACACTGCAAGCAGTGAGTACTTCTGTCACCATTTTTTGTTCTCTAGAGAGAAGGAGATATATATTCTTGGTGAAATCATCGATTACACGCTATGAGTGTGGAGACTCTTAGTACTGTGCGGAACATAGTAATACAAGTAAAGTTGACGGAAAGGGTGAATCACTAAAGCTAGAAGGGGAGCCCCTTGCCTCCTTGAGCATCAAATTTTTAGCAAAAACGTTCTGCAAGATTGCTTTTGTATAAAACATTACATCCAACTATTATTTTACCTAAAATCACAACAAAGCCAAAAACATTAAAAATTAAAACACTATAAAAAGCACAAGTACAGAAGATCTAATATAAGATGTTTCTTTCATTTTCCTAATGGGGAGTTTCTTGTTGTCTCCTATGTCTACAGGAAGTTGAGAGGAACAAAAATGGGAAAGCTTCACATTCAGAATGGCGCAATTATGATGACTTCAATGAGTATTTCTGGTTTGTAGTTCTTTCAGATTTGTTGTAGTCGGTGCTTGGATGTTTCTTTATCATGGATTTCACGTTTAGCTTTTCTTGAACGAATTTCATGTGGTCATAGGTTTTTATATAGAATAGCAAAACAAAAAAGAAAATGCTTCAAATTATTTATGGGGGACATTCTCAGATTTTACACGTTGCCTATATCCTCCATAGAAACACAACTTTTCGACCCATTTCGTCTTTTTTGTCTCATTTATTGCAAATGGATCTGTCGGTTCACCAATCATTGATGGTTCTAGAACCGCTAAACCTACGTTACATGTGCAGGTCACCTTCCTGCTTTGAGTTGGGATGGCCTATGAATAAGGATTCAGCGTTCCTGATGAAACCTGGGAAAAGAAAACGGGTTATCTTTATTTTTTATTATAATTTTATTTCCACGGATTTAATTATATGACTTTATTTATTAGTTCTCAGTTAGAATGACTATGCTCTTCTAACTTGTAATTGTTACATTTTCAATTTTTTCTCTTCCAATAACAGACAGGTAAGAGCTCATTCGTTGAGCATCGAACTTTCCTTCACCTTTATCGGAGTTTCCATCGTCTGTGGATCTTTCTGATCATAATGTTTCAGGTAAAATATTTATTATTATTTTTTTCAGCAGTGCTGTCTGAATTCTGATACTTCTCTTGCCTTTTTGGTGCTCTGTTTTTTCAGGCTCTATCGATTGTTGCCTTCCAGAATGGAAAACTTAATATTGGTATCTTGAGACCGTTGCTTAGCATTGGACCAACATTTGCTGTCATGAATTTTATCGAGAGTAAGGCATTATAATAAATGAATTATTCTTCTCTGCTGCTTGTACTTATGTAAATCACGTTTGTGTGCATCAATTTGGTTTGTCCTTGTCTTGTAGGTTTCTTAGATGTTGTACTCATGTTTGGGGCTTATACCACTGCCCGAGCAATGGCTATATCGAGGCTTGTTATTAGGTTTCTCTGGTGGGGCACAAGCTCTGCATTTGTGATTTATGTCTACATGTGAGTGTGCATTTCTATTTTGGCTGTCTGATTGCTTTATAGTATTTACTCATATGGTGACATTATGGTTTCAGCAAAGTTCTGGAGGAATGGAGTAATAATCCCATTAATTCATTGTACTTCCGAATATATGTCCTAGCGGCCGGTTCATATGCTGCTTTGCGAATAATATTTGCTCTGTTCATCAAAATCCCATTATGTCACAAGCTCTCAGATATATTTGATCATAAGTTCTTCCAATTTTTCAAGTGGATTTACGAGGTACTCCTTTCTGAAAATTAGCTCTATCCATGTATTATATCCTTAAAACACACAATGCTAGCATTTATGCTTGAACAATTTTGTGCAGTCATCCATACTTAATTTAGTAGTTCAATAGAAGCTTTCAATGTTGATTTGTTTTGTTATGGGCTAGTATATTGTTTATCTTATTTATGGAAGTATCTTGACTTGTGTCATTGAAAATTCTGTGAATGTGTGTAGTTTTCTTTAGGTGTGAAAGTAACAAATTTCTTATGCTGAATGGTTATTACTCCCTCCGTTCCACATAATTTATCCCTATTTTCTATTTTTATCCGTCCCACATAACTTGTCCTTTCTATTTTTGGAAATATAATTATGCACTTTAATCGCATTTTAAATTTTATAATTTTTTTAATTTTAATTAAACTATTTACTTATTTTAATTTTAATCTATAATTATTTTTACTAAATAATAATTATTTTTACTAATACACTTCTTAATTACTTACTAATTATATTTTACCTAAATTCCCGTGTCTACAGTAATACATCCATATTACATGGGACGGAGGGAGTATTTATTAAAGCACATCATGATATCTATGTTGCGTGCTTGTCAATATCATTTTAGCTATTGTGTTTACTTTCAGGAACGCTATTTTGTTGGCCGGGGACTTGTTGAAAAGTTAACAAATTACTTAAGGTTTGATTAATCTTTCTTCCAATTGTGTGTATGTGTTTTTTTCCTGGACTCCCATGTTTTTTGTTGTTGTATATTTCTGAAACTTATAGTTATAACCAATAAGAGGTGGATTAGTTATTAACCCTGCTTTTTAAATGATTTTAGATTAACCTCTCTAACTGGTGGTCTACAAATTTAGCGTGGAAATTACCTTTGACGATATCCTTAACAAACTTTCCTGTTTGGTTGATAGATATAATAATAATAATAATAATAATAATAATAATAATAATAATAATAATAATAATAATAATGATGATGATGATGATGTTTTGACTGGATTTCCTCTAGATAGTGAATTTTGGTGATATTGTTCGGACATTGTGGAGTTGAAATGCTCTAGAACCAAATATGTGCAGTTAGTCTGATCAGTTTTGTGCTGTTGAGTTAGAATATTAGCCTGACAAATGTGAACAACAAGATCATGTGTGCTTGTATTTACAAATTGCAGTACTATTTTTATGGTGGACGTATTTATTATTTATGAAAATCTATCTTTGCAGCTATGTTATTTTCTGGCTATTGATCTTTGCTTGTAAATTCTCTTTTACGTACTTTCTTCAGGTATGCAACCGTATCTTTAGCTTACAAGTTGTTACCACGACGATGAATATTGTTTGTCTTGTCTGAACAATCTAGTGTTTGTAATGGCAGATCAAACCATTAGTCCAGCCGACTAAGATAATCATAAATCTACGCCACCTAAATTATTCGTGGCATGATCTGGTTTCACGTGGTATGTTCCTTTTTCTTGCATTTTTTACGGCCATTTCTCAGTTTTTTGATGATCTGAAATTTTGAAGACTTAAAAAAAAAAAAAAAAAAAAACACAAGTAAACAAACCCATAGATTCTTGACATTTAATAAGGAAATATATATATATATATATATTCCAGACTTAGTCATTTCTTATCCTCCAGAATATCTAGTAGATAACTTTTAAATTGTTAAAGAGATGGTACTCTTTAATTGATGGCTCAATTTGATTTGGCTTGAGGATATGTTCACTCGAATTTGATTCAAGATTGAATGTGAGAAATTGAATTCAATTAATGCTATATTAATCATAGCTTTTGTGCCTGTGAAAATCTTATTGTTCATTGTGTATTTTTAGGAAGTTTCATATTTTATTCTTATTGTAGTTTTATTTCTTATCACACCTGTATCTCGTTATTTATAATAGAATTATATGTTTAGTAACAATCCCATTATCACAGGGATTTGTCTCACTAGAATTAGGTGTCGATGTTTGACAGCCTTATGCATACATATAGGATTAAGGTCAAATAAACTCAATACAAATCTTATAAGGTAAAAAGAGAGAGCTTTTTTACCTTATAGATTTGAAAGTGTCAGATAAACACAAATCTTACCTTGACTGAAGCAAGGATAATATATAGTCATACAAATTTTTTTCATTTCGGGATAGGTATTGCTTGATGGAGTGAGTGATCTGCTTTATATTTTTATTGGTAAACCTAAATGTCTAACCAGAAAAATTGGTTTTTTTTTTTTTTTTTTTATTATTGATCCCTTTTAAGTAATATGGCAAGCTGTTTGCACAATAATTTGATGCTCTAATTGAATTGTGCTGCAGACAACTATAATTCATTGACTGTCGCCAGTTTGTGGGGGCCTGTTGTAGCTGTAAGTAAATAAATTTCAGTTTTCATGCATTTTTAGTTTGTAACTTGATTTTTTTTTTCTGATTCTTTATAGAAGAAATACTGTTCCATTATATGGATTATATTGTTTTTAAATAATGATGCTTTTACTTTATAAATCATTATATGCGCTGTAACGTGTTATGTGTTATACTGCAGATTTATCTTATGGATATTCATATTTGGTACACTCTGTGGTCTTCAATTTATGGAGCTTTGATGGGGACAATAGCCCGTCTAGGAGAGGTATTTATTAATTTTCACACCATATTATTAGTTTCGTTCTTTCTCAGAATCATGCTGGCAATCCTTCATATTTTGCTACCTATAATATCTATGACTTTAATATTCGTTTGTAGATTCGGTCAATTGATATGGTGCACAAGCGTTTTGACAGTTTTCCAGAGGCATTTGTGAAGAATCTTGTGTCTCCAAAGATTAAAAGGTGTCCATAAGAAATATATATTTCATATGTCAAAATATCAAATAAAAAAACCTTTATTTGTATTATCTTTTTAAGTTATGGTTTAATATTGGTGCTACAGGGTTCCATTTGACAGAGATACAACAGAGGTTGGAGATACAACAGAGGTTGGTACAAATATGTTAATTTTGTTATTTTCCAGTAAGTTATCATGGATTTGAGAAGCATTTCATGCCAATTTCCTCAATTGCGTCTTGATCAGTGTTTTACTTCTTCCCTCTCTTAAGGTCATATTAGGATTTTAGCTTTACGAGTTGGTGATTTGAGATATAATTCATGATATGCTGGCCAGGAACAAACTGAGACTGGAAAGTGTACAAAGTTTTAATTTTGAAGAGCAAAATTTAATCAAATTACTATATCTTGGTGTAAAAGTGTCTCTAATTAGATAATATATGTCGTTTTGAGACTTAAATATATATATATATAGGAGGAAAGGAAGGTTTTTTTGTATTTGCATTTGTCTTTTAATATATTTATTGAATAATGTAATTATTATGTATCATTTATTAATTAGATCTTAATTTGATTGTGTTTGAAATTCAAAGTTAATGGTTCAATCATAATTTATGTTCGAATCCTCTAAAATGCAACCACTTGGACTTCTTTATTGTATTATTATGTTTTTCTTGTTTTCGTACTCTGATGTATTAAGTGAGTTTTTACATCAAGCATAATGAAGTTGAGAATTTCTTACAATCAAACATAAAACATTCATGTGTCATATTGTGCTGCCATCATATTTCTGATTATATGTCAATATGATTTCCTCTGCATCGGGATTCTGCACTTGTCTTCCTGTTCCTTTATTTTCCTCTATGCATTTTTCTTGTTCACTGAGTATTGGATGTATGCTTAGACTCCCCATGCAAATTACAAGGCGTATGCAGCCATGTTTTCTCCATTTTGGAATGAAATCATCAAAAGTCTGCGGGAAGAAGATTATATCAGCAACAGGTATGTTGGTGAGATGGTAGACAGTGCTTCATACGACCAAAAGATTCTTGAAATGAAATTTCTCTTTTAAGCTGTATAACTGTGACACTCTTTCTCTCTCTAATATCCACACGTGTATTTTAATATCTTTTGGTGATGCTTTTTTAAAGGGAGATGGACTTACTTTCAATGCCAAGTAACACTGGAAGTTTAAAATTGGTTCAATGGCCACTTTTTCTACTTAGCAGCAAGGTACTGCTTTCATATCTTTCTCATATTATATTGACCACATTTCTAGTCGTTCATCTTAGTCTGTCAGACTGCCATAATATAGCCAGCATATAATCTTGTGTATGGTTTCAGATCTTATGGGCTATTGATTTGGCTTTGGATTGCAAAGACACTCAGGCTGATCTTTGGAGTAGAATACACAAGGATGATTACATGGCATATGCTGTCCAGGAGTGTTATTCAAGCATTGAGAAGGTTCTGCACTCGTTGGTTGATGGAGAAGGAAGACTTTGGTAACATATTCTTACTCCGGAAGGAAGAAATAGTTTCTCTCATTTCATTTACTGATCAAAGTTTTGTACCTACTTTTCTTGCAGGGTTGAAAGGGTGTTTCGTGAGATAAACAACAGTATTTCAGAAAGCTCTCTTGTCATTACTTTGTCTCTTAAGAAGCTTCCGGTGGTGCTCTCCAGATTTACAGCTTTGACAGGGTTATTGGTATTTCTTTGCCTTCTATATAGTTTCCTCTTTATTGCTATAAAATTTTAGAATCTGGTACTCTTTAATCTTCGATGGTTCGTCTCCAATTCTGCTATAGTGAAAATTCAACAAAGTTGTTTTGTATGTGCTATGAACAATGCTGAGAAATTTAATTAAGACCTCACTCCACATTTCTGCTACAGGAAGAAACCTTCTCTGACCTGATTTGAAATTACCATTTAGAAATGCCTAGGGAATAATCTATATATGAACTTTCATTTGTGGATCAATTTGATTCAAAATATCCTCGGGTCATATGTCCTTGATTGCTAAAGCTTAAGGTTTTGTTTATCTATGGTTTCAACTTTGCTTTCAAACTATTTATAAAGCAATTTCCTCTTAAAAAGCATTACCTTCAATACTTATTTGTAGTTAAAATATTACATAAAAATTTATTTCTATGATGTAACACCTATTTACATCACATCCAACGCCTACTGTACATTTGAATTTCTACTATTTTCAAAACAATTGAAAACCCCAAACATTTCAAAAAATTATCTAAATGTTTGTAAGTGATTTCAGATTACTACAATTATGTTTTTAATTTCCACCATTATGTTTTCATCCATTTATTGTCATTAGATTCGCGACCATACACCAGAGCTTGCAAAGGGAGCAGCAAAAGCTATGTTTGACTTGTATGATGTTGTTACCCACGAGCTTCTCTCCCTTGATTTGAGGTGCAATAAAAGGAAATTCTTATAATGATTCTGTAATACTTGGTTAATTTTCATGCATTGATGCTACTTTATTTTTGTCCAGGGAACAACTTGATACATGGAATATTTTGTTGAGGGCTAGAAATGAAGGGCGCCTCTTTTCTAGGATAGCGTGGCCTGTTGACCCTGACATTGTAAGCTTCGAGAGCTTCTGTGTTTGTTTTTTCTTAAAATTTTAACAAATCAACCGACAGAATTGTTTTCCTTCGGATCATCAGAAGGAGCAAGTTAAAAGGCTACACCTACTTCTAACTGTAAAGGATAGTGCTGCTAACATTCCAAAGAATCTTGAAGCAAGAAGAAGATTGGAGTTTTTCACGAACTCTTTATTTATGAAAATGCCTCCAGCAAAGCCTGTTTGTGAAATGATCCCTTTCTGGTATCACTTCTTCTAATTCTTCTCCTGTTTTCTTTATTTTGTAATTATTTACTTGTATTTTTTATAATAAATTTTGCATGCAATATGTTAATTTTTCGATATGATTATTTCGTTTGTCTGGTATGTATCCCTAACTATGGCTATTTTGGTTTGGTATAGTGTCTTCACACCATACTATAGTGAAACAGTGCTCTACAGCATCTCTGACCTGCAGGATGAAAATGAAGATGGTGTATCAACTCTTTTTTATCTCCAGAAAATCTATCCAGGTATATTTCTTGTTTTTGGTTGGCATTCGATAATAAATTTTCACCCCTAGACAGCATGATGGGTTTCTATAATAAGGTTTGCTTAAATTATGATATGAATTGACAATGGAATTCTAAAATAAATGCTAGGGCTCAAAAGCCAAAAATTAAGGCCGGAACTATTTTGGCCAAAATTCACCACAGGTGAACCTAATTAGACCTGAACATGTAAAATATTTGGGAACAACCACAATCTAAATGCTAAGAGCTTGAATGACATGTCATGAATATTCAGTCCAAAATGTGAGGTCTCATGTCTACAAGACAGGAAAACTTATTACTTGTGAACAAAAAAACGAAAAAAATAAAATAAAAAATTATTCACTCACTTAGGTAGATACGTAAATTATAAGTGAAATTGTCAATAAAACTGCTTATTTATAGGTAAAAGTTTGGGAGCGCTAATGGACTCCTACCTGATTGCCATCTTACTTAATCTATTACAAGAATACAATAAGGAATGGAAAGCCATTCTTTTGTTTTTATTTTTATTTTTTTAATTTATAGGTAAACTATTTTTTTAGTTATATATCCAACTCCTTTATCATTTTAAGATTTTAAATGAACCCAGTGTCGAAAATAGTTCCGCAAGGAAATTTTTTCGTTAAAATGGTCCTTTAGTACCGAACTCGTTACGCTAGTCCACCGTTGGTGATGTGGTGCTAACACGGCTGATATGTCATCGCCACGTCAATAATATGTCAGTGGACTATTTTAGCGAAAAAATTTTACTTGTGGGACAATTTTTAGACAGAGTCTATTTAAAATCCTAAAATAATAAAGAGGTTGGATACAAAATAAAAAATGAGTTTACCCTTTATTTATTTATCTATGCTTTCTAACCCAACCAAATTTATTTCCTTGTCCTTTCGATGCTATGCAAAGAAATTGGCAATATTATTTGTACTTCGAGACATGTTAGAAAGTAATCCATGGAATATAGGAAATAATGTTGCCTACTATTGGAAATTCGAAGATCAAGCATGAGAAAGGCCACACTCCTCCAAGTCCAATGGGAGCGGATTTAGGAAACCATAGGGAGTTTGCACTTTGAAATATATGTGGTTGTTCTATGGTTATAACATTTGTGTGTGTATGTGATACTTGCCTATAATTAGCCAAGATGAAACAAAAAAAAAACAACACACGAGATTTGTTGAGTCGGTTTAATGTAACTATCTACATTTGAGGGATTTCAATTCAGATAGCAGAAAGTAGCATCATTGTCATGGGACAATGTAGCTTTTGACAATAATTTGAATCCGGAAGAAACTACCGGTGATCTTAATCGGGTGATATCTGAGAATTTTGTTGTCAAGATTGGCAACATACTTGTAGATTCTGCAGCTATATTGTCATGCATATGGTTGAAGTTGCATTACTTCAGTTGCTTTCTCTTCAATTTCTTATTCTTTTTCTCGCTCCCCCCTCTTTCTATCTCTCTCTCTCTCTATATATATAGATATAGAAATTGTTTTCTGACATCATCACTTTCTTTTAATTTGGATATTTTAGATGAATGGGAGAACTTTTTGGAACGTACTGGTCAGGCTGATGGTGATGCTGAAGTTCACCAAAGTACTGGTGCCTTGGAACTTCGATTTTGGGCGTCTTATCGAGGGCAAACTTTGGCTAGAACAGGTCTCGCTTACTTTTATGTTGGGTGATCTTACCATCTTAAGATACATGATGACTATATCAGGGGATTTCTGATGTCTTCTACAAATATCACCAATGGTAGCTTACGATTTTTGTTTTATACAGTGCGAGGTATGATGTACTATAGGAGGGCTCTGATGCTGCAGAGTTTCTTGGAAAAAAGATCCATAGGAGGTTAATGATCTGTCTTGGACACATTTTTTATTCATAAGAAATAACTTTAACCGGTAGTTGCTTTTATTTACAGAGGACATTACTTCAGGGTCAAGTTTCACAAGTCAAGGTTTTGAGTTATCACAAGAAGCACGTGCTCAAGCTGATATAAAATTCACTTATGTTGTATCCTGCCAGATATATGGGCAACAAAAACAACGGAAAGCTCCAGAAGCGGCTGATATAGCTCTGCTGCTACAAAGGTGTGCTTTTTAAGTTATATCCATCTAATTTTCTTTGAATATATGCCTATGTTAAAAACTTTAATTGATATCTTATAGAAACAGATAAATAGATCAGACACAATTAAACGATATCAATTGTTTGCCTAAAGAACAATCAAATCCCAAAAGCCTCTGGGCTACTGTATTTCCAAGATTAAGGACAATTACTCAAACCCTAATTACTCTTGTTAAATACTACTACTAAACCCTACTTACTAAAATTAAAGTAAGTTCATCCAATAAGCAACAGATAAGCCCAACCCTAAAATAATGAAAGTCCATAAATAAAAGCCCAAGTAAAAAGATAATAGAAGACTAATAAGTAAAAGTTCAATCATTCAAAAGAAGCCTAAGGCTGTCCCCACCTCCCGTACACCAACAGGGGCCTTGCCTCCACCTTATTCCCGAACTTCTATTCCTGCTCCCTATCAATATCTTATTCTTTGATACAATTATGTTAGCTTGAGTACCATATGATTGTCAATGAGTTTTTTTTTATTCCTTATGCTAGGTTTTGACTATGATTTAGCTTCTAATTGCTATGCTGACTTGGTAAAATATGAACATGGATACAGATAACTTTTAAGTGGACTATTTATGGTTATCGATCAACTTAATGGAGTCTAGTTTATGGTACTGGGTAAATCCTGATTAGTGGCAATAAAAATGTATTTCTTCAGCACAACTTTCAGAGGTTTTGACAATGCTGTCCAAGGATCATCCTTAAATCTGACTTTACTAGTTTACGTCTATTTCTGGCCCAACACACTAACTGGGCAGAGTTAAATAAACAGCCATAAGAAATTACCATGACAAATAACCTGAGAACAATAAGTAGACAGCTTGAGCGCAACCACAAGGAGCTATAAAAATAGATAGCCAGAAGGAGATGCACAAAAACAACCGTTTAGCTGAAGTTGGGAGTCAGTTATCATGACACAACAAAATTATAGTAGTTGCAACAGAAACGAATTGAACTCATTCAGATATCCTGTTGAATATTTGAGAGGAATTTACCGAACTGCATCAAACCTCTATGTTAAAATTAAATCAATTTATTGTATGGGATTAGAGTTAGGACCTACAAAGCTAATATATTCTAGTTCTCTATGGTAGGATCATATAATATTTTCCATAATAATAATAATAATAATAATAATTTTCTACAAATATTTTATGGTCGAAACTAAAAATTGTTTTTAGTATTGATATGATGGGTGTTTTAATGAAAATTTTGTGCATATTACTTGTATACTGTCCATGAACTATTAGATGCAATTATATGTATGTACATATTGTCCTTGTCTTTTAGGATATTTAATACTTAAAATTTCAGATAGATTAACAAAAAAAGAAGAAATAGAAAAAGAATACGCTACAAAATTGAAGTGAGAACTTTTGTTACGAATGCATGAAATATTTAACTATACAGCTGAATCTACTTGGTTAATTCTGCATTTGTTTTCATGATACCTGTTCACTATTAGAAACGAGGCACTTCGTGTTGCTTTCATACACGTGGAAGAGAGTGCTCAATCTGATGGAACATCTAAGAAGGAATTTTATTCAAAACTTGTTAAAGCTGATGCATATGGCAAAGATCAGGTAACGTAGAAACTATTTTTATTGTCTTGCTAACAGCATTTGAATCTTTCTATGTTTTTTTTTTATTTTTTTATTGTTGGCTCTTAGAACTTTGTTTAGAGAATGCATGGCCGTTGGAACGTGACCGACTCCGAATTTGACATAGAAATGATTTGATATATGGCATATATTGGTCTAAGGCTTTGTGTTGTGTCTTGCATGCTATCTTCAAATCAAACAAAGTATTGGTTTTATTTTTTATTTTTATCTATATTTTAGGTGTGGAAGAATTATCTCTTTCAGTTCATTTTACCATATTTAGTAATAAACAGTTATTAAAAATTACCCTTTTTTTTGTTTTAATTTGGATGTTATTGATAATGCTTTTCTTATTAAGAGAAATAATGTCAAGACTTTGACCTACTATAGATCTTTTTCCGGTCTAAATGTTTCAGTGCTTTTAGCCATGCTTCAGGTTTTTTTATTGATAATGCTTTTATACTTGTATATACAAACTATGAGTACAAATTTATGCATGTCTTTTTTATATTTAATTATTACCATAAGCTTATATCAAATATCAAATCATTTAACGTTTTCAGAGAAAATATATATGTAATTTAAAGTAGTACTTAATACAATTATTTCTATATCTTTTGGATCAATTAAATCTTTTTCCTTTGGGCACTTTTCTCATTTAGTTCAGGTTACAAAATGCCTGCTTTTCAATGATGAATTTCTGCATTACGACTCCTACAACAATTCTAATTTTAATCATTGAATGCAAACATATAGTTTCTTATCGCCCTTCAGATGCTGGTTTCTGCTTCTCGATTTGTCCAGTAACCCAAATATATCATGAATTCTATGCTTCATGAGTATGTTAAGCATTACTATCTCTTGAGTTTAAGTATGACTCATCTCCGATTCTTAGTGTTATATCATCTTCATTTTTCCATAGAGTAAAATAACAATTGATAGAGAGAAGTAGCTAGTTAGCTACAAAGACAAATTAGAGTAAACAAAAAAAGACCAACTAAAACCAGACTGATAAGTCAATGTTTCCCGTAGCACCACACTCAGTGCAAGAGTGTTTTTGAATCACATCAACCACAATATTTGGGAGAGGACTGCACTGGTGCTTAAGGATACATGAAGGGTGTGAAAAATGGCTAAATCTCTATATTTGAATCCTCAATGCCAATGTAATTGGAAAGTGTCTGCCATGTCTAATTGGATCTCTATGTCGTTGTAACTTCTCTGTTACTTCATTGTGAAGTGCGAACAATATAGATTAATGTTTTTGAATCCCATTTTCCAAATTTATCAATTTCTTTTATCGTCCAGGAAGTATTTTCTATTAAGCTTCCTGGTGACCCTAAGCTTGGAGAAGGAAAACCAGAAAATCAAAATCATGCTATAATTTTTACTCGTGGAGATGCTCTTCAAACAATCGACATGAACCAGGTAAGTTCTATAAGTATTCTTTGAAATCAGTTGTGAATTTTAATCCTTCAGTATGATTATTGTTGCACGGTACATATTCTGTCAGTGCTCAAGGTCTTCCTTTTCTTGTTTGTATGATGTCTAGAAAATAGAATATAGAAACTAAATTCAAATTTGTTGTAACTTTGAAGATGCATAATACACTGAGATATTGATAAACTTATGAAGAAGGTCATAAAAACGAGCAGCACCTCTCCAGAGCTATAGTTCTACAGTACGTGTGGATATAATAACCAATAATACAAAACTTATATTTCATTTAGCTAATAATATATATGGTAGTGGTTTAAGTTAAGATTAAGCTTCTTGTTTATATATGATGCACTATTTACCCATTGACAATAGAGCTATAGTAGCATATATATATAAGCACATCTATGGTAACCTGATATGGTTCTTCATGTTATTGTTATAAAAAAGAACATTAATATCAAGTCAGTTATTTTCTGTTGAACACGGAGACAAGATTAATACGACATAAATGATGTAAATTAAATTGTTTCCTCAAAAGCAATGATATTTTGTTATTCTTATGGATCCTATGTGTTTCTTGTTTTAAGTTTATGTGAGAAATTTTCCTGTAGCATAGCATTTGCTAGATTCATTTATCCATTTATTTGACTTTATAATCTATATAGATTAATATTTAGATATAGTTAGGATTATCATGATTGGATATTAGATTTTCTTTGTTAGATATATTCCCCTCTATACCTATTGTTGAAATATAGCTTGGATAAATATTTTAGTTGATATAACTTAAATTTGTTTGTTATTATTTAATTATATCTATTAGATTATGTTATTATTATTTAGATATAACTACTAGATTAAGTTCTTATTATTTGAATGTATCTACTAAATTAGGTTGTTATTCTTTGACTTTATCATTTTGTATAAGTTTGCATAAGTGGACCTTAATTTCCTTGTAAAAGAACATCTTAGAGATTTCTCTCTCAGAATGTAACATGGTATCATAGTCATATTTTCTGTAGGTAGTAGGTATATCCCTGTAACTTGGAATGTATTCAGTAACTTGAAATGTATTCGGAGGTCTGCTTTTCAAATCTGAGATCTCCCACATTTTTTAAAATAAATCTCATTCTAATCCTTTTTATTTGTCACTTTTCAATTCATTTAACCTATACTACCGTCATTATATTTCTAATTTGAAGAACATTTACCACCAAATATCATTATCATAAAGAGCGTGTGTGAGATAACGGCATTGGTCAACATTTGATCAACACCATCGCTCAATGCCACTCAAAAGGTCAACGATTTCGTTGCCGCTGACTTTGGCTGTATGTGCAGCTGCATTCGGTATGCAACTGCTGGAATTTTCGGGTAGACAACATATTGAGATATTTTCAACTTATATGTCAAGATGATTCTAGTTTTTTGATCAATTTTTTAGTTTAGCATTCAATCATCTATCCACAGTTTCAGCTTATTAAGGTTTAAGTTTTTAAAATTTAACACCACAACGACGAAAAAGGATTGTTGGTGCTGCCGCCGACAAAGGATCGCCTTCATAAAAACCCTAATTGATTGCCGCTGTAACGACAATGAATTGTTGATGTCGCTGCGGTGACAAAGGATTGTGGCCATTAAAAATCCTAATTTGGCCAAAATTTTAATTTGCTGAAGTTACCTCTGTTGCGACAGAGGATCGCCGGAACGTTCCTCCAATAGAGGATTGCTATAATTCGAAACCTTAATTTTGGAAAAATTATACTTTCTTAGGGTTTAGCCCCCACCACGGCAGATAATCGATTGAATTATGATGTCTAGTTATGAAGTCCATTCATATTTTAACTTCACCTCTTATTTCTTTTTCCAAACTCGAGCTAGCTTCTACACTACCAAATTGAGTTTAAGGCGGAATGTTGAAATATATTTTTGATAAATATTTTGATTGCTATTATTTAGATTTTTTAGCTATAATTTAATCATATCTATTAGATTAGGTTATTATTTAGATATATTTACTAAATTATGTTGTTATTATTTAGATATAGCTCCTAGATTAGCGGTTTGTTCTTTTATCATTTCAAACCAAATTCAACATTATTCACTTTGATACAGTTTTCAATAAAAATACAACATTTTCTGTCATAGAACATCAAATCATAATACTATTTAGACAAAATCTCAAATCTAACACCCCATTTCAAATCAATTTCAAACCATAAAAGAACAAAACCTAGGTTGTTATTATTTGACTTTATCCTTTTTTATAGTCTAACTCTTTGAAAGTTTTTCCCCAATTTCTACTATTCACCAGATTTTCCTCCCCTCAAAATATCAAATCAAATACCTATTTTTTATTTTTTATATTATATTAAAAATTAATTTTACATTAAAAAATATCATATCAACACCTATTTATATCATATTATACAACTATTCCAATTTCAATTTATATTATTTAAATTTCAACTCAAAATCCAAACCCTCAAACAAATACACTCTAAATAGACCTTACTTTAATTATAAAAAGACATCACAAAAATTTCTCTCAAAACGTAACACTTATAAATATGTATATTCTCTCCTTTGGTTTTTTAGTAAAATAAAATACCTTTTTTTCTAAATTTCTACGGCAAACCTACACGGACAGTCTGCATTATGGAGCATTAAATATTTTACTTTATGTAAGACTAATGCATTAATTTGTATTTAGCTTGAGGGTGTGCAAGTAAGAGCTCAAATATAAACATACACCAATGTATCTGTTTTGGTATGTTTTGAGAAGGGTGAAAAAGTTTAGGGTAAGAACAGCGGTGAGAAAGACTCCTTATTCAACTCCCTAGCTTTCTTGGAGCTTTCTACCATGGAGATACTTTTTGAAAATGTGAAGGATTTGTCAATGGCATTTTAAGTAAGATGCCTAAACTCTTGGTTAGATGTTAGGGAGTCGGGTAAAGTCAAGGTCTATATTAGAAGATGGAGAAACACCGTACTCATTTAGGATAATTATTATTTTATTTCTTATTATTTCTCTTATTATTTTATTTACTGTTTAATTGTTGATTATGAGTCTTGAGCTTGGCCTATAAGTCCGCCTATATACAGGGAGCATCTAGGTCATGTTAGACAGTCATTATTTTGGTTTTGGTTACCGAGCAAATTGGTTTTTCTATGTGGTACTCTATTTTCATTGATTCGAATAAATTCTCTCTTCGATAACCCTAAGTCATAACACTAGACTAGTGTCTGTTGTGGTTATTACCAATTTAGAACAACACAATACTACGTGAAATAGTTGTGATGCAAGAAATACCAAAAGCCTTCTTGTTGATAGTTTTGGATGTTTGCTCGTGTTTTGTTAGATCCGTCGATGTTAGTTGTCCATGCGTATTTACCATCAAGTCTCATTACAATGTCTTCGTTAAACATTTCATGGCTCGCCTGCTTGCAAACGAGAATACTCAAGCTTATCGCTTGGATTATACTAATACATATCTTCTTATGGCAAAAATGACTTCAGAAAGTTGGTCCCTTCATCGACTTGAACTGAAATTTTCTCTTTGATGACTTACATAGGACAATCTATATAGAGAAACCATTGGGATTTGTTACTCAAGGGGAGACTCATTTGGTGTGCAAGTTGAATAAAACATTATATTGTATAAAGTAGTTTTTAAGAGCATGGTTTGGGCGGTTTAGCATAGTTGTCATGTGTAAAAATTCTAAGAGAAATTTCTTAGATGCATTGATAATGAAATTAAGGTTTATTTATTGAGCTAATACAAAAGAATAAAACTAAACAATAACAACCAGATCTACAAACATATATAGATAATAATAATTTAATCTAGGAGATATGATTATATGATAACTAACAAATCTAAATAATATCAACTAAAATATCTATCTAAAATATATTTCAACACCTTGCCCCAAACTCAAATTGGTGATGTAGAAGCAAACTCGAGTTTTGGCAAAAGAAATAAGAGGTAGATGAATTTTATAACTGGACATTATCATTCAAATCAATTCTTTGTCGTGGTCGGGACGTCAAACCCTAAGAAATTAGAATTTTTCCCAAATTAAGGTTTTTAATTGCATCAATCCTCTGTAGCGGGCACGCTCCGGCGATCCTCTGTCGCAACGGCAAAAACGATTCTCTGTCGTTGCGGCGGCATCGAAATAGTGTTTTTGTTTTTTGCGGTGGAACCGGTGATTTTCTGTCGCTACGGCGGCGCTAAACCCTGAGAGATTAAACCCTAATAGGCAGAAACTCCGAACAGATAACTAAGTACCAAACTAAAAATCCTTAATCAAAACTGAAAACTTGACAGATACACTGAAAATATCTCACGTTTATTGTCGCGAGAAAATTCTTGCAATTGAACACTTGCACATGCAGCTAAAGTTGGTGGAAACAAAATTATTGATTGTGTTGACTGGTGTTGACTGACGGAATTGACGAAACATTGACCGACACTGGTAACTTATATGCATTGTTTCTGATAATGATATTTGGTGGCAAGTGTTTTCCAAATTAAGAATACGATGGTGGTGGTAGCGGATCTCATATTTGAAAGAAAATCCTCCGGTACATTGTGGGATGTACTCAGAGAAAACGTGAATTAGTAGATTGTGTCTATTTCAGAAGAAAAGTAAACTCTGATGCCATGTAAAAAAAATTTCTGAGATGTATTGATAATTAAATTAAGGTCTATTTGTAGACCTAATACAAAAGGCTAAAACTAAATAATAACAACAAAATCTACTAACATATATAGATAATAATAATCTAATCTAGTAGATCTGATTATATGATAACTAACAAATCTAAATAATATCAACTAAACTATCTATCTAAAATATATTTGAACATCATGAAATCCGGACTATAACTATGTGATGTTGATCAATCAGTTTTCTATGGTCATACTAAGGCTGGGATAATTTTTTTCATCGCCTCCATTGGTAATATTGTGATAATTGGCGATGATACAACCAAAATACTATTGCTGAGATATTTTTCTTTATATGATGTCTTAGATTTTGGTCAACTAAATATTTTTTGTATTGAAGTTGCTCACTCCAAGTTGGGTATTTGCTTGTCCGAGTGCAAGTATGTTGATCTTTTGAAAGAAAATAAGCTACTCGGTGCAAAGCATGTTGAGGGCCTTTGAAGCCAAATCTTGAACTTAATTAAGGAATAAAAAGAAAAAATGTTTAGAAAGAAATTGAAAACTTTCTGGCAAACTGATATACCTAATTGTTTCCACCTAAATATTTCATTTTCAAAATATGATGTCAGTGAATTTATCGCATTATGGCGAACAACTCATTGGGAGACTATTTCTACAGTATCAGAAAGGAAAACCATGACAATGTCTTCTCTATAAAAATCATGGAAATTCCCTAGTACAGGGATTTACAACTGCAAAAGAGGTAGAAATGTGTGATGGAAGCTCTATTTTAGGTTACTATATAAATCTTGTTTGCAATTTCTTGGACACACGGTTGCAATCCCCTCGAACTGTCAATGAAAAGGCTAACTCCTCTCAGTAATGTACAACGGAGTTATGAACCACAAGTGAAAAAACCACATTTGTTAACACGTAGCAAGTTCATGGTAATAACATTAGAAAAACTAAAATTTAAGTTTTCCAATACTGATAATTATTTTTGTCGAACAGAGTTCTGGTTATGAAGCTGCCTTCTCTGAGCATTTTGATCCATAAGTTGATCTACTTAGGAGGTTGAGTATGGTGCTCTAATTCCAAATTTTGGAAATACTGTTGCAATCAAATGAAGAGACCAACTCCTCCGAATAATATGCAGCAGAGTTATGAACCATAAGTGAAAAAACACAAATGTTCACACCTGGTAAAGTCATGGTAGTAACAACACAATGTTGGTAGAATAAATGCAAATGCAAGCAAGGGAATAAATGAGACGATGGGTTTGTTGACCCACTTTAGTTATTAAAACCTACCTCTGGGATACCAATTCAGGAATCATCCACTACAACCTATCACCAAATTTATAATGACTTCACACATCAACAAACATCCAACACAACTCGCCTCTCATATAGCTCAATAAAACCAACAGATCACGTATATAAATGAGTGTAAAAGTGTTTACAAGTTCTTTATCATCTCTAATTGGGTCTCCGGTTTTTCCTTCTTCAGATAGACTTCTGTTGAGTCTGGAAATTGTAGAACATCTTCAAAGCATAGACTTGACACTACAACATTTGAGAGTGTTTGAGTATTTTCTAATTACAATTTTTATCTCTAACTTGTCTCGTACACCAACTTTACAAACTGGGTTGGTTTTTACATGTGTTTATTGTGAACTTCAAGCCATTAAAAACCTTTTGCACAAGAAGGTCCAATCCATTATCTTCTATAATAGTCAAACAAAGGTTGACAGAAAAAATATAAATAATCCTTTAAGTGGGTTGGTCTTTAGCACGGTTTTTGAATATTAGGATCACCTATTAATAAGAAGAGAAACATGCCCGATCAGAAAAAAAAGTAAAAAAAAAAAAAAAGGTAAAATAAAAAAGAAAGGAAAAGTGTGTTTTCTCACCTGCACATGGTAGGGAATATTGGAAGAATGAAAAATTAATAAAGAAAATGACAGCTCTCTCGTTCAGCTTAAACTTTTAGGTGGCTTGGAAGTTTAACATTTCGCATAGGTAAAAGTTTGTGTTGTTGGTGCTTAAATTACTTTAATCTTTCAACTCTAGTAATTTTTGGACATTGATGCCCCTTGATATCTCCATTATAAGCTCAAGCCTTTTCCAGATTATAACATGTTTAAATAGCTAATTCATTTCTCTGTACCTATACCTTTAGTTATCATTGGTTCAAATTTTCTGCATTGATTTGATAAAACATTGTGTTTCACTTTTTCATAACTTGTTTTTGTCTGTGTTTTCTAGGACAATTATCTGGAAGAGGCCATGAAAATGAGAAATCTCCTTGAGGAATTCCATAGAAAGCATGGTCTTCGACCTCCCACAATTCTGGGTGTAAGAGAACATATTTTCACGGGAAGGTTGAACACCTCTTACCTTCTGCCTCTTTTAACCAGCATGTAATATATGTTAACCATCTAATTTATAATTATATAATGCAGTGTTTCCTCCTTGGCCTGGTTCATGTCCAACCAAGAGTCTAGTTTTGTGACTTTGGGTCAACGTGTGTTAGCGAAACCTCTTAAGTAAGTCCATAGTTATTCTTGGATGTCATGAAATGTCTACTTTTTTCTATAGGGTTGAAACCCCAGCAAGCCGATCTTATGTATCTGACTGTGGGGTATGAAATTTTGCAGAGTCCGTATGCACTATGGACATCCAGATGTTTTTGACAGAATTTTTCATGTGACGCGAGGTGGGATTAGCAAAGCATCTCGTGTTATTAATATTAGTGAAGATATTTATGCAGGTGAGTTTTGACATTTGTACAGCTTATGTTGCAAAATCATTTAATTTCATTTTCTTGCTTCAAGTATGTTAGACAATTTTGCTTGGATGCTGTGGAGACAGTACATTTTCTTCCTGATTTATATTATTATTATTATTATTATTTGGGACATACCATAGAATTATTGCCTGATTTGAGGTATTTGTTCAAGAAATTTCTCTGTGGAAACAGCATTGGCTATTTTTCTGTATGGTGAATTGTGTTTCCCTGTGTTATTATGTGGGTTAGCCATTCAACCCTGAAAAGAATTGTGTTTTTGATTGTTTTCAAAGCGTCAAGGAAGTATTTTCATCACTAGAAGCCAGGTATTTGCTGGATATCTATATCAGTGACTGTGACATCATATATTCTTCAATATGTAGGGTTCAATTCAACCTTGCGGCAAGGAAACATTACTCACCATGAATATATTCAGGTTTGCTTGAACTGACTCAATGCATCAAAGGAAGGACATTTTTTCATGCTATCCTTTTGATATTTTCATTATTAGGTTGGAAAAGGGAGAGATGTTGGTTTGAACCAAATTGCCTTGTTCGAAGGCAAAGTGGCTGGGGGAAATGGAGAGCAAGTTCTGAGTCGGGACATCTACAGGCTTGGACAACTTTTTGATTTCTTCAGAATGCTTTCCTTCTTTTTCACAACTGTCGGTTATTATGTCTGCACAATGGTAGGATGCTTAATACATTCTACTGTCTCTTTTATGAGTTGTTACTTCTTGAAAGTTCTCAACCCTCCTAAAACCTTCGCTTTCAATGCAGATGACAGTTCTCACCATTTATATTTTCCTCTATGGAAGAGCATATCTGGTAACATCTCATTCCATCATGTCATCTTCTCTTTGCTTGTCGAATGATGTATCTTTGGGTATGCTAACCCAGTAAAGTTAGACTATTACTTACATTTATCCTGAATATATGATCTCTCATTGATGCTCTAAACTTAGAAAATTATGTTGGATATAGAATGATAACTTTTTTGAAATGTTGAGTGAGCTCCAAAGCTTTTACTTTGAAGAACAACTTTAAGCTTGTATCAACAAGTTTCTGCATTTCATCCAAGTAACTAAAACAAATATGAATATATTTTGGCAGTATTTATGAACCCTATCTATTTTATAAAATCTTCTCTTCCCATCAATTCCAATCTTTGATTGACTTGAGCATTTACCTATTGTTTCTTTCTTTTTTATTTATTTATTTTTCTTCTTTATACTGTAAGGATATATATCACCCCTCTTCAAGGCCCCTTAATTTACTTGCATTTCAATTATGGTTAATGTGTCTTAGAGGTAGCAAGTTTCTTTTCTATTTTGTACTTTATCAGTGTTTTATAAGCTCAAATTTTATTAAATTATTTTTTACATTCCCCAGAAGATTAGGCTTATAGATATCACTATGGAATGCAGAATAATGTGACCCAAAGTTTGCATAGTTCATGAGTATGAACTTTGGTGGGCTTCTATCAGTACAATGATTGTATAAGAAATCCGTCACATATGATTGTATAATGATTGTATTTCAATTTTGGTGGGCTTGATCCTCAGTATTTCATATGATTGTCGTGAACAATCATATATATTAGCTAGCCTAGTATCATGGCCATTTTTATTTTTTTTTGATAATATTATAGCACAGATACTACTTATAATTATAAGCTGGGATACAGTCTGATGAATCTCTTTGAACTCAAGTTATATTTAGTTTGCTTGAATTGATGGAATGTTGTGTGGTAAAACACTTCTGAGGGGGCTGGAGAATGCAAATAAGGTTATTTATTTTGTGTCCTTTGAAAGTAGAATTTCCCAAATAAGGTTAAGCCTATAAGAAAATGAAGGAATTGGCACTTCATGATCAGGGAATGAATGAAATGACTTTGTGAGGAAGATAAATTTAAGAGTGGATGCAACTGTCCAACACGGTCTTCCTTGGCTCTATTGCTGCATTTTTGTGTACATAAGAGGAATATTGACTAATATATCTGGAAAAAAGTTTCTGAAGTGAGAAATAAGTGGCAGTTGAATCTTTTCCAGATGGAATTAAAAATTTAATACCGTGATCCAAATGGTTCATTTAATAATCGTAGTCCTTAATCCTCGGGGAACAAACGAGATAATCTTTTTCTAATTCTTCTGCAATCTTTGGTGTATATGTTGCTGTAAATATATTTTTATTATCACCTTTACTGCTTCTCTTTCAGGCTTTCTCTGGACTTGATAGGGCAATTTCACGTGAAGCTAAATTGCTGGGAAACACTGCAATAGATGCTGTTCTGAATACTCAGTTTTTGGTCCAAATTGGAATTTTCACTGCTATTCCCATGATCATGGGTTTTATACTTGAAATTGGATTGATGCAGGTACGTTCGAATGTTCTTCAAAATATGTTTTAAGTTAATTTTTCTTACTCATAAAAATTGGTGCAGCGATCATTAAACAAGTATATATTATATGGGATCTCCTACTTGTGGATGCAAGTCAACATTTTGTTTTGCTGAATTTGTTGTGCGGGTTTATTTTAGAAGTAACATATGGTTAAATTTATTATCCCTGACACCTTTTAATTTAACTGCAGGCTGTTTTCAGCTTCATCACAATGCAACTTCAGCTATGTTCTGTGTTCTTTACCTTTTCACTAGGAACCAGGACTCATTATTTTGGACGCACTATACTCCATGGAGGGGCAAAGGTACTCGCATTCCTAGATTTTCCATTAGATGAACTTCAAATACATGAATTAAATGACTAAGATAGAAACGACATAAAATACTTAGTTCTAAAGATTTAGCACAATACTCTGTTCCAACAAATTTTATATCATCATCCCCAAAGCTAGGTTCTGTTAACTTTGTATCTTTTTTAAAAGAATTTACTATCCAATCCGTCCACACGCATCACTTCTTAACTCCTATTTTCCATACAAAACATTACACCCATCAACTATTTCACCTAAAAATCTATCAGAACCAAACAAATACACTCAAAAAAAAGAAAAGAAAAGAAACATAAAGTAAACACACCCTTAGTAAAAGTTATATCTAGTGAACAAAGATAATTATGTTTAACAAGAAATCTCTAGCTTATGGTTACATAAGTTAAATGGTCTAGCGTTCGAGAGAATGTATATGAATAAAAAAATAACTATGTAGGCCATTGTTATCTTATGTGAAATATGATTTTGCAGTACCGAGCAACTGGAAGAGGTTTTGTTGTCCGGCACATCAAGTTTGCAGAGAACTATCGACTTTACTCAAGAAGCCATTTTGTAAAAGCGTAAGTATTATTTGTTAGACTACATGTGCACAGTTGCAAGTATACAAGTGCATTGTTAAAACCACGAACTTGCTTGTTTCTGTTTGTTTCATGCATTCTCTTTAAGAGAAAGTGTATTCCTGTTTCATGCATATTATTGAGACTAGATATATTTCGGTGACAACTGTACTTTTCTCAGGCTGGAAATTGCAATGCTGCTCATTGTATACATTGCCTACGGTTACTCAAAGGGTGGTTCTTCTTCCTTCTTTCTACTAACTCTAAGCAGTTGGTTTCTTGTCATCTCTTGGCTTTTTGCCCCTTATATATTCAATCCTTCTGGATTTGAATGGCAGAAGTAAGTTGTTTCATCTGCACATTACTACCTTTAGTCCCTGTCTAATATGTTTTTCATTTAGTTCGTTAATATAATAAAAAGTGGGCTCCGTCGTATGGTGTATTCTTCTTTAATAGGTTTCTGCCTTTAAACTTTAACCCTCGTATTAAAATATTTAAGCTGCATTGTACAGAACTGTAGATGATTTTGATGATTGGACCAATTGGCTTATGTATAAAGGTGGAGTTGGTGTCAAAGGAGAATACAGCTGGGAATCTTGGTGGAATGAAGAGCAGGTTTGGCCCAATGAACTCGATGGATAATTCATATATAAAAGAGAAACCAGTAAATGTAAATGATCAGAATAAACAACACATTTGTATTATTCAGATGGGTGCATTGAATGACATTTTATATTATTTTTTAAAATTTCTAGTATATTGATGGATTTAACTTTCTAATGAACAAATGATCGACTGTTATCATCATTTTGAAACTACCTGTTCACTGTGTAGGCTTATGAATGTATGTTGCTTGAAATAGCCTATCTGTACATAAACTGACAAGAGATCTTCTGTTCTGCAGATGCATATTCAAACTTTGAGAGGCCGTATACTTGAAACAATCTTGAGCTTGAGATTTATCGTCTTTCAATATGGTGTTGTGTATAGACTCCATGCTGCTAATCACAGTACATCCCTTGTGGTATAGTTTCTTCATTTGCTTTTATATGAATAATATTTTGATTGAAACATTCAGTTTTCGTTTGCTATAATGTGTTTATGAACATATGAGATGAATCCCCTTTCCTTCTAACCAAAAAAAAAAAAAAAAAACGCAACCCCTATGCTATTAACATAATTTACATCTAAGAACTCTTCTTTCAAATAAAAGATATGGTATATACTATAAGATATAACCATAATTTTGTATGTGTTTTTTCATTTTTTTTCCAGGGATTTTAATCTAGTTCTTGTCACATTTGTCTTTATCACTATATTTGCATACTTCTCTTTATCACATGTGCTTTGTTTTTGTCCCAATATTTATTATAATTTTTCCCATTTGATTTAATATGCCATACTATTTATTGTATTGTATAATGTTAATATTGCCCCCATATTTAACAGACATGTAATAATCTCTTCCCCTTTAAATCATTCAGAATTTCTGCATGTTGGTAATTGACTCCCATAAAAACATAGATAAATAAATGGTATGTGTCCCTATAAGTTTAAACTTTTTGATGGGAGAGTTAGTTAATATCATTTAACATTGTCTAAAGTAGTGATCGATGTCCATTTTGAGCAGCAATTGGTGTTTAAACAGAAACTGTGGAGCTCTTTTTGATTTTGTTAATATTGGTTCCCATAGAAAAGCTGTTGAAGTGTTTCTAACCCATGGATAAATTATAACATTGCCGTATTTTTTACTTTGAATGTTTTTTATGGCGCATATTAGTTGGCTTCTGACATTTTACTGTGACACTTTAATGTATTAGGTCTATGGCTTCTCTTGGGTTGCACTGGTCGGAATCGTTATGATTTTTAAGGTTGGTCTTCCTGCCGTCAGATTCTCATTATTGCGATTATATCAATCTTTAACTCAGTGTTAAAATGTCTTGTATAAATAATTGCTTCACCTCGTCTATATTTCAGGTATTCACATTTAGCCCCAGGAAGTCTCAAAATTTCCACCTAATGCTACGGTTTTTCCAAGGGGCTACAGCCATTGGACTTATTGTTGCCCTTTGCCTGGTTGTGATGTTCAAAATAATATACATATCCGACTTTTTTGCTGGCATCCTCGCATTTATTCCCACTGGATGGTTCATTCTCTCTGTAAGTGAACCTCATGGAGTTGCTCGCTTTTCTTTCATCCGAGCATAGCGGCAAACAATGTCTTACCATTCACCTTGTTTATGACATTACAGATGGCAATTACATGGAAGAAGTTTGTGCGATATCTCGGGGTTTGGGATTCGGTACGTGAGTTTGCACGAATGTACGACGCTGGAATGGGTATGCTCATCTTTGTTCCCATCACTTTTCTGTCATGGTTCCCTTTTGTGTCGACATTCCAGTCACGATTGCTCTTTAACCAAGCATTTAGCCGTGGTTTGGAGATATCCCTCATCCTTGCTGGGAACAAAGCAAACATTGAGGCCGATTCTTTCTAGCTTTAACAGTAAAGACAACTGATCCCTTTCATCTTACAATAGCTTCCTTGTATACTTTTAATTTCGAAAAATAGCTCCAATTTAGCCTGCAAGACTGGATACTGTGAACCTGTTTGATTGGTTGCTCTGGAATTTATTGCACACATTTGAAATCATTTTTGGTAGAATTTGGTCATGTTTAATTAAATATTGTGTTGCAAATAAATTTATTCTGTACCATATATATGTCATGTTTATTGGCCTAATTAGGATGCATGCATAGCATATAACGGTAGAATAAGTTAACATTTTGAAGTGATAGGGTAACCGGGATGGCAATGGGCGGGCATAGGATGGGTTTTACGAAATTCAGAATCAGTTATGTCATAAAAACTAATTCGTTCCAGCCCCAAGAACCTAGAGATTGCAATGATAGATTCGAGATGTGACCCAGTTTGACCTTCCTGGTTATTTTTTTGTTATTGGATTTATTCGAAGATAATGAATGTTGTATTGAGCTATTTTCGAGAAGGATCGCGTGGAGTGCGCACTCGATAAAACCTATATGATATTGAAAAAGTGTAAAATAATTTAATGAAGCTGAAAATTATGGTACATATTGTTTGAAAATTATTATTTTCAATATTGACAAAGATGGTGTCTTTTAAATTTAAATTGAAGTTCAAATCTTTTCAGAAAAAATTCTTTCAAATATATTAATATATTCTTGTTTCACATAATTGAGAGAAAAAAAAAAAAAATTAGTGTTAGCTTTGTTTTATTCCAGTACGAATTGTGTAATCCGAAGCGTTAATAAGGTCGAAATATCGTATAAGGAAAATGAATCTACGCGACTCAAAGTATATCCAAGATCATGTATTCCTGCGCAATTCGATTTATTCGTATTTTCATTCAATTTAGAATATTTCTCCAACAATCTTATACGATATTTTCGAAAGATCTTGGATGTGGCGGATATGAAAATTAAATTTGGAAAGATGTCCAAATTTGAGAATATTGGAATATATATATTTTCAAAAATCAATTTGTTAGAATTGATTTTGAAATAGATCCGTGCGCATTCAGACTTTCTAATTAGAAGAAGAAAAAAAAATTGCATCGGTTGGGGCAGGCAGCCGGACACAAATTTTTGGTTTGTCTCCAGTGCAATGCATCAACGATTATCAAATGATCAAAGATTTGGTGCAGCCCATGGGCGGTGGGACTGCGTTGTATTTGATTGTGTTGAGATTTTATGGACGGTTTTTGAAAAAAAACAACACCATGTAATGGAATATAGTAAAAAGGTTTCTTTCCTCTTAATTTCTGTGTGAAGAATAGGGGGGGGGGGGGAAGTGGATATAATTCTCAAATTAAAATTCTAATATTTAAATTTTATAAATATAGATGTATGTCCGAATATTATAAATTGAATCTACTTTTATTTTGCCAAAATATCGTATAATAAATTTGAGAAAATTAATTAATGTGTTTGCAAAACACAGGGAATGAATTTTGATGTCCCTAGGATTAATTTTGTATAAATTAATTTATGAAGTGTTGGTTAAAATTCTTTTTCGAAAATTGGTTATTACGTTACTCACACTTTAGGAATTGTCAAATATAATTTGACTTCAATTAAATGTGGAATACTGCAAATACTTTGACAACAATAATAATTCTTGAGATTATTATGCGTGCACAAAGTTGGGAGTAATATTTCGATGGCTTAGGAGGATGGCAAATCGCGGTTAAGCGTAAGACTATCGTTTATCATTTGTAAAATGTTAGCGCGGTTTGAATTATCATGAAGCCGAAGCTTTGTATGTCGAATTGTATAGAGTGGAATCGCTCACATCCATTGACCAAGAAACTGACAAACAATATGTTATCGTGATGGTTAAAGTTCATTCAATTGTCATAGCGTGAGACACTAATGCTGGGAGCTGAATTCAATGTGGAAAGCTCACATTTAGAATATTGGAACACGCATGATTTATTATCCAAAAGAGTGTGTTCGGACTTGTAGGAGAGTTAGGTTGAGGTTTAGTATTATTATCCAAAAGAGTGTGTTCGGACTTGCAGGAGAGTTAGGTTGAGGTTTAGTCTCTTAATAATTTCTTTGAAAAATCATCGTGCATGGGCGAGGCTAAAGGAATTACCTATACGAACATGAAGTTTTGCCGCTTCAAAAAATGCTACGGACTTGGCTTTCGACATAAAATATATGCACATATAACTTAATACAACTCCTAAAATATATGCACATATTATTTATTGAATAACTATAATAATTTGAAGCACTTAATTAACACTCCCCCTTGCTTCAAAGCTTGTGACTTCTATACGCATAATGAAATATGTCGGAATTGGAGAGTTGTGGAAGAGAATTATAATGGAGAGAAATTTTATTAGAAAGGAACCTTGATGTTTCTTATTTTCCAAATGCTCATACTACATGGGTATTTATAGGAAAATTATTTGTAGTATGTAAAATTTATTAATACATTGGGAATAGTAAAAGTCTGTTCTTGAATATTTGGTGAGTTGGAATTCTTATTCTTTTTATTTTGTTATTACAAATTTTATCTAACACCCCCTCTTAATTTGTAATCCCAATATCTTTCTCGAACTGTTGAAGCTTCTATTCGGTGACTGCCTTCGTGAGTGCATTGGCAAACTGTGTTGTGGTCCTAACATGTTCCATAAAGATTTCTTTTTCTTGCACCTTTGTACAGATAAAATGATGTCTCAGCTTGATGTGTTTTGTTCTTCCATGAAACACTGGATTCTTTGTCATGGAAATTGTTGCCATATTATCACAGAAAATTGGAGTGGGTCCATATCTCTGTAACAAATCCTTTAAAATTCTTCTGAGCCAAACTGCTTCTCGAACCGCTTCATTCGCAGCAATGTACTCCGCCTCTGCGGATGACATATCAACTGAATTTTGCTTCTTCGTACTCCACGAAATTGCTTTTGATCCCAAGCAAAAAATGTATCCCAATGTCCTCTTCCTGTCATCTTGGCTTCCAGCCAATCACTATCCCTGAATCCAAGCAACTCATTATTCTCATCCATCGAATATTTGATGCCAAGATGTTTTGTCCCTTGAATGTAATGGAGAATCCTTTTTGCAGCCGCAAATTGTGACTTGCTTGGATTGCTCATAAATCTGGAAATCAAACTTACAACATGTAAGATATCCGGCCTTGTGTGTGTTAGGTAGATGAAGATTCGACAAGGCTCCGATAAATGCTTAGGTCGAATTTTTCTGCACCATCAACAAAGTTTAATCTTTCGTTGAGGGCCATTGTTGTCGCAGCGGGCTTGCAATTCTCCATTCTAAACTTCTTTAGCATGTCTGCAACATACTTCTCTTGAGAGATGAAGATATTTCCATTTTCTTGCATTACTTGAATGCCAAGAAAATACTCCATCATTCCAAGATCTGTCATTTCAAACTTTCTCATCATCGCTTCTTTGAACTATTTCACAATTGCGTCATTTGTTCGTACATAGATTAGATCATCGGCATATAGGCAAACCATCAAAAATCATTATCACTTTTCTTCACGTAGAGAGATGGTTCAGAAGGACTTTTCATAAATCTATTTTTCTGGAAATATGCATCAATCGTATTGTTCTAGCATCTCGGTGCTTGCTTCAGCATGTATAGTGCTTTGTGCAGTCTATACAGTTTTTCCTCTTTGCCTTTTGCTTCAAATCCTTGTGGTTGTTTGACGTACACCTTTTCTAGTTCACCATTCATAAATGCAATTTGTACTTGAAGTTGAACGTTTCAACTCCAATTGTACTGCAATTGCATTTCTGTAATAATATTTATGAGAAATTATTCAATCGAAAAATTCTAAGTGAACAAACTGATTATACATTTGCCACAGCATAGGTGTATTTGGTTTGCGCTTCATGCCCAAATTTTTGGTATTTAGCCTATAGGCTGTATAGGATTCCTAATCAAAATATATTATATATTTCTCACAAAAATATCACGTTAAAATGTTATCTAAGTTAAAAATCAAATTCAAATCAAAATCAAATAAATTTGTATTGACAATATCAACTTATAATTGAAAAAATAAATCATATATAAATACATTTACTATCTTAATATAGTTTACCAATTTGGGCACTTACTGTCATTTTGATAAGAAATAAAATGTATGTTTTATTTAGGTTTGAAATGTAAATCCTCATTTTCCAATCTATATGATTTCTAATAAAAATATATTATTTAATCTCACAAGATATTCATACAAAATAATACTTAAAAAATTTTAATCACAAACCCAATTGCATTAGTTTGGGACCAAATTTATTATTTATTTTTAATAACTATATAATAATATAATTTAAATTAAATATAATTATATTAAAAAATATAATTATTATAATATAAAATAAAAATTATTATTTGTAATATAAATATGTATAGATATAATATTTTAATTATCATTAAATTTTTTTTATAACACTATAATATATAAATAATAAATATTTAATTAAGTTTTAAAGTTTTTTTTGTAAAACTTAAAAAATTTCAAGGACTAGATACAAACATAAATATACAAAAGTAAATAGCTATTATTATTATTATAAAATAAATTTTTAATTATATAAATATTATTAAACCCTTATTATTTTACTTTACCCTACTTTTTCCTACTTTTTTCGAGCGGCTGCCACCACCACACCTTTCTTCCTCTTAACCCTACTTTTTTCCAGCCGCTACGGCGCCACACCTTTCTTCCTTATTCTTCAACTTCCTTCTCCCTCCTCTCGTCTTCCATTTGATCGCATTGTTTCTCAATTTTTATTCTTCTTCTTTGATCTTCCATCTACAACTCTTCATCTCCAGTGTTGGTCATCGGGTTCGGGGCGCAATGATTTTTCTTTCTTCTTCCCTTTTCCGTTGATGTAATGGAAATTCACTGGCGACCACCGAGTTTGGGGGGCAGCGGACCCTCTGGGTTCCTAAGTAGCTCCGCCCCTGGTTTGGGGGACTTGGAGATTAATTGGTTCCATAGTTTAATTAATCATTATGTAGCTGCAATGGTAACTAATAATTTAATTATCATTACGGTTTAGGGTTTGGAATGTGTAGTTGATAGTGCATTTTCATTTCTTTTGTTACTTTTTTGAAATGCTATGAATAATCATGGAATGAATGTATTTAGGCCCTTGCCATACAAGAGCTAGCCCCGGAAGAGTTTGGAAGATTTAAAGATTACGAGGGAAAAGACAAAGTGAAGGCGAAGGATATGGAGAAGGATAACGAATTGCAGTTGCTGCAAGCTGTGCAGAAAAGGTCCTTAATGTTAAAGAGCAAGAATCTGGCAAATGATGGATGGGCTGAGCGATCACTAGTTCCTGCAACTGAAGACAACCAGGGAACAAGCTCTGGTCATTCCAATTTGAGAACGGTGCCGACATTATCTAAACAACAACATCAACTGAGCTCCTCCCAACCATCGGCTTATAACTGGAATGAAGAGTTCCCAGGTTTGTACTTTTTTGTGTTATTATAGCACAATTGCTGCTTTTAAAATTTCATTTTCACAATTGCTGCTTCTAAAATTTGTCTCTCTACTTGCAGCTTCAGTTGTAAGGAAAGATGTTAAGCAGGGCTGGAAAAAAATAAGCTTCGTATTGGTATGTTCGAATAGCCTTTCAACTAGTTTTTCGATAACATGATTTGCACCTCTAAAATCCCTCGCCGAAATCAACATTTTTAACATATCAATATACATGTAGGTACATATTAGTTTACAGATTTCCAAGTCTTGTATGATTCTTTCTAAAAAATTTATATATCTATCCCTATAAATTTAATTAAAATATGTTAACAATTTAAGAAATTATCATTTATTATTTTTAAAGTTCGGATTCAATTATAAAGAAATTGTATTACAATCAAGTTAAAAAGGTTAAAATCAAGAAAAATGCCAAAAATATGTTACATGTATACCAAATGATCACTTTTGTCCTTATTTATTTAGCTGACAAAATATATTCTACATATTTGCAAAAGTCGTCATTTATGTCTTTTGGCCGCGCGTGATGTTCACACAACGGTTGTCCTACGTGCGGCTAGATGGAAAAAATGATGATTTTTGCAAACATGTAGTATATATTTTGTCAGTGAGATAAATAAAACATAAAAGTGACCACTGAGTGTGCGTGTATGATATGTTTTATAATTTTCCTGGTTAAAATCTTAGCCACTTATAGTAATTTGACAAACGGGATATATAAAAAAAATCATCGCAATTGCTTTTCCATTATAAAAAATACTAATAAATATTATTGAAATTAATTTATGATATATGGAATTAGATTCCTCGATGATACCGCCAACATACACATGCTTTCACACATGACAGGTTTTGCTACAGCCCCTCTGATATCATATAAAACAAGAGGGGTACAGTCGGAATCCCATAACTCCAAGAAGAAGAAATTGAGTTTGGGAAAAAAAAAAAAAAAAAGAACAACAACAGTAAAAACAACAAAACTGGTAGAAATGACTGGGCGGAAACGGGCGTCGCTCTCAGCCACCACTGAGTCCAAGTGCAATGAAAAGGTTCTGGTAAAAAATACAAGGCAGAATCCGCGGCGCAAACCCAAAAAGATCAAGCTCCTTGATGAATTAGTTCTACCTCAAGTTGAGATTAGGGATACACAAGAAAAGTTCAGTAATCAACAGTGTGGCGTAGATTCGAATGGCCAAAAGGCCTGTGGCAAGAGAACTACAAGCACAACTATTGCGGTAGATTGTGGATCTGATGATGATGCTGCGACTGAGGTATTCTTTTTTAAATTTACCCTTTTTGTTAATTCAAATCCAATTTCATTGCTAAATCTGAAACTTTCATTTTTGTGAGGATATTGGAGAGTGACTTCCTAGATTTGGTCAGGAAGAATATATATATATATATATATAAGAATATTTTAACAAAGTGATATGTTATATGCTATTTTTATTTTTTTAGTGACAACTTGTTGAATGATGTGAGATTAGGAAAGAACAAGATTTTTGTGCTTAGTGAATTAATGGAAATGATGTTGTTGTAGATCCTAAATAATGTTTATAAAGATTTTGTGCTAAGTAAATTGATGAATGAACTTTAACTTCAAGTTATTTTGCGCTGAAGTTATTGACTTGATAATTTTTTCATGTTTGTTTTGGGGTTTTGATTTTGGGTTTGGATTTAAATAATAAAAAATTGAAATGAGAATAATTGTATGATGCTATATATATAAGCATTGATGTCATATTTTAAATGTAAAGTGAATTTTTAATATAATACAAAAAAATATATTTGATTTGATGTCTTTTTCGGAGAAAATTTGTATGAATAATAGAAAGCCATCAAAATCCTTTTAACAAACACACCTTTACACTAGTAGAAATAGCTAGGTAGCACGACGGATAGACATGTACGTATTAGATTAGTGTGTTTTTTATGACATTGAAAATCAATTTCCCAAATCTTATCCTCGCCCACTTCACTTTCATGTTTATATTTTGGTCTGTTCATCCTCTATGTATCTGTTTCGTTTTTAATGATTGTATGTCACTTAAATAAAAAAAATAAATAACGTTACATTTTATTTAACATTCCTAAAAAAAGACCATTAAAAAGCAAATGAGTTTAAGGATAAAAAAGTTTTTCTCTTATCAATATTAATATTTTAAAATCTAAGTGAAACAATAAACAATTACCGTTAGCGGGTGGGCATAGGGAGCATTATTATTTTTGAACATTTATATCTTGTATCCCTCTAAATTTAATGTGTTAATAATTTAGCAATTATTATTTATTGTTGGGATAAATACATTTTAATACCAAGAATATGTGTTCAATTTATGTTAGTATTTGATATTAAAATCATATCAATGCACATGACTATTCCTGTAAATGGTTGGTACTATGGAGTAAATATAAGAGTATTTTCATACATGGTTTGTTTTGAAGATAAAAAATGATAATTGACATCATATATGAGTCTAAACATACATTTAACCCTTTGGTGGCGGCTACAGTGTTAAAATTCAAACACTGCTGAATAGCACACCGTGTGCTAACGGACAACATATTGTATTACCATAAACTACATACATCATGCATTAATATAATATAATACATTACATGACATGACAACACATGATATAGTCTCAAACATCACACACAATAGTTGATTTTAGTATATGATATACTCTTATATAACACACGCTATAATTATGAACAACATCACATACTTTTACTACAAACAATACATGTTGTATCTAATAAATGCATGTGTTGTTTCTATATTTTTCTACGTGTACTGATTTGGAAAATCAGCGCGGTATTGATTTTCCAAATTCAGCACCGTGACCATCCCATTTAACTTTTTATTATTTTTAAATTTCAAATTTAATTATAATAAATTTATGTTCAATTAGGTAAAAAAAAAAGGTTAAAATCTTGAACGTCTTCGTTCATTATTTACTTTAATAATTGACATACCAAATATAAGAATAAAATGAATAGTCATCATTGCCAATTATAAACAATTAATATTATGTATCATGGAAATAAGTTTATGATATTTGAAATACGATTCTTTGGTAATATAGACACGCGCATGATGCTCTCACGCGCTATGACCCTTCGCTATACTTTCTCTATTCTAATATAAAACAAGATCTATAGTCAAAATCCTATACTTGCAAAATTGATTTACAGAATCAGAAACAAACTATGGAGAGTGCAAAAACAACACCACCACATTCTTCAATGGCAGAGATCCAGCTTAATAGTGCACCGGTGGTCGACCTCTCAGCCGCCACTAAATGCATGACCAAAGAAAAGGTGCCGGTTAAGTACACAAGGCGGAATCGGCGCCAACCTAAGATGTGTGAACCTTCTCCATCCACCCTAGAATACGGCGATGATGATGATAGGGAGAAGAAAAAGACAAGACTTGCTGGTGATTTAGTTCAACCTGATAGGGAGATTAGTGAAACGAAAAAAAAATTAAGTGATCAACAACGTGGTGCAGATTCCACTGGCCGGAAGGCTGGGGGCAAGAGAAAGAAATGCACAACCATTGTTGTTGATTGCAGATCTGATGATGTTGCCGCGACTGAGGTTTTTTTCTTTTTTCAATTCACCTTTTCAATTTATTAAAATCCTATTCTATTTTTGAAAGGATACTTGAGTGTCTTTTTTTATATTTGTACGAAAAAAATAAAAAACGAATAAAAGAGAAAAAAAATGGAATTATTTTAATCATATTTTTTTATAATTTATTTTGGCGATATGTTAATCCTTTTAGTTACAAATTGTAGATGGGTTTGACACTTAGAATGGAGATTGATTGACTTCTTTTTTATTTTTTGAAATTGAAGTACATTTAACAGCTATCAACAAGGGGGAATTTTATTTGTGTTTTTTCCTTTGCAATATATATATATGTATATATATTTTTGGAGACAGTAATCGTGAAAGCATACATGATTTCTTTTTAGTTGTGGAATTCGTCTTTCTAGTTTATTTGTGTTTAATTTGTTTGGTGTCATGTGTAGCTATCATATGTATCATTTCTTCATCAAGATATGTGTGTTTATATATGCATATATATATTTCTGGTAATTGTGTATTATAAAATGCCTATTAGTTTTTGCAAAATATTTATGGTAATTGTTTTGTGTCATGTATAACTAACTATCTGTTAACTTTTATTGACAAATATGTAAGGACTATGATGTCTTTTAATAAACTTTATTATTTTATTTAGGTAGTAAATAGTGCAAAAATAAATCAAAATACAATGAATGAAGCCTAAGTGACCATGATTATGGTGTTAATGAAATATTTCTTAGTTAGCATCATGTTTATTTTTGTGTGCTGATATCTTTACTTAAATATATTGAGTTTATCTATTTATGCACAATTTTACAATGCCACAGAGCCAAGTTTATATTTGTTCATTTATTTATTAATTATAATTATGCTATATGTTAAAATCCTAAATATTAAGTAGTTTACAGAAAGCATACAAGTTGTTGAGTAATATTAGCACATTTGTTTTCTTCAATTGTATCTGCTGAATGTATATATCTTCGATAATTGTTTATGCAATTATAATTGTATAAATGTATTAATATTTTACATTAACTTTAATAGTATATAATTTGAAAAAAAGGTTTTGACTTTTTCTTTTCGTATTGTTATTAATCTTAAATTCTCATTATAGTTCATATCTGAATTTTCAGTGGCTGATGAATTATTAGTTGACTGTTTTCAATTGAATATTTTTTAGTTATTATTCATGTTTCTTGTGCGCAGAAAAAGAAAGAAAAGAAGCAGAAAGGAGTGATAGTGAGTGAGGAGACGACAAAAGCAGATAGTTGTAAAACAAATTCAGGCAAGATTCTGTTGGAACCATAGAATTTCATATACTATCAATTTATTATTATTATTTCTTTTTTTTGTTAATCTTTATTTATTTATTTTTTTTTTTGTGTAACAGTCGAAACAAAGTGTGGTCCTATACCAACACCATTGCCTGATAAGAAATTGTTGACAGGCATTCTTAGCAAGCTGCAAGAGTATGTAATTTTTTTTTTGAGTATGTGTTTTTAGGGATATTTTTTGTGGGCTCTTTTTGTATCAGATTTTATTGAACGATTCATATGTACATATATATATATATGTATATATATGTTTCTGTTTCAGGTTGGATGTTTATGGGGCGTTTTCTAATCCTGTGGACATCATAGATGTGAGTCTTCTGCACATACTCCAGGCTGACAATAATTATATGGTTGTTTGATGCTGACGATGGTTTCATATTGCAGGTGCCCGATTATTATGATGTGGTAAAGCAGCCTATGGATTTTCCAACTATTCGAAAGAAGCTTCGGAAAAGCTGTTACAAGTCCTTGGAAGATTTGGAGGTCAATTGATTCCATAGCTTATTATAATCACTTTTCAACCGTGACTGTAACTGATAATAAAATTACTGTTATTTTCATTTCTTTGATATCTCAGGCTGATGTTCAACTACTCTGTTCCAATGCAATGTTGTTCAATGGGCCGGACACTGTCTACCATAAACAGGTGTAGTTTAGAGTTCAAGGTTTAGGGTTTGGAATATGTGGTTGATTCTGCATTTTCTATTTATTTTGTAAACTTGTGCAATGTTATGAATAATAATCGAATGATGGTATTTAGGGGCTTGCCATCCAAAATCTTGCCAATGAAGAGTTTGGAAAACTTAAAAATCCTGAGGGTAAAGATGCAGTATTGGACAAGGATAATGATAAGAAGAAGGAGAAGGCTCAAGAAGTCGAATTACAGTTGCAGCAAGCTGTGCAGGAAAGAAGAATAAGGGGAAAGGCTCCGGAAAATAATGAATCAATAGACAGATCACCAGCTCTTGCAGTTGCCCCGACTGAAGATCATCAGGGAACAAGCTCTGGCCGTTATAATTTGACAAAGGGGCCGGAATTGTCCTACTCTTACCGCAAAGAACAATCTGACAGCACCTCCCATACATTGGCTTATAGTTGGAACCAAGAATTCCCAGGTTTGTTAGGGTAAAATTATAGTGCTACTTCTGAATTTGTCATTTAATTTCTCATCAACTGCTCATAAATTAGGCTGATATGGTTGTCTTTTTACTTCCAGTTTCGGTTGTAAGGGCAGATGCTAAGCAGGGCCGGAGAAATACGGCCGTGGATTTGAACCGCCGTGGCACATACAATCAGCCATGTCCCCATTCCTCTCCTCCCACTTCCTTAACCAACCTTGCAAAGGAGCCCCATCATTTGGTACCGGTATGTTCTAATGTTCTTTCAACTAACATTGTGGATAATGCATCATTTATCATAATAAGAAAATAGCTTACAATTTGTACTGTGATTTTTGTGTGTTTCAGATCTCATCGGGAAGCTTGCGAGATCCTCTCTGTTATGCTAGAAGTCTAGCACAATTTGCTGCTGATTTGGGGCCGGTGGCTTGGAAAATTGCTTCCAAGAAGATTGAAGCTGCCTTACCGATTGGGACAGCATACGGTCCAGGTTGGGTAGGTGAACCCATCCCTGCTACGCCGAGAAGCCAGCTGGCATCATCGTCATCACAGCCGAACTAAGATTTGCAGTTTTAAGGAATTGATGAATGTTTGAAGGAACAGGTGGTTAGAAACGACCGCACAGCACTGAATTTGTGCTAGCTCTTTGCCCTTAATTTGCGTGTAACCGTGATGGTGTTGGGGTAGAATCGGGTATGTTCTTGATTCTTGAAGACAATCTAAAAGTATGAAATGTTAGATTTGATAACTTTTAGGTTTAGATATGGATATTTAGACAATCTAAAAATAAGAATATGAAATGACTCATTTAAGTTCCAGAGGATGAAATTGCAGAGACAATATGAAAAAAAGAATATTTAGACTCTTTACATCAATCCGGTTACTCTTAGGAGATTTTTATGTTTGCTATTTTTGTTCTTTTTTCTATGATTAGCCAGTACTTTATTTTTTTTAGTTTAAGAGTAAAAAAAATTTGGTATAGATTTGTGACATTAGACTATGTTTTGATTTTATATTAGTTTTCAGTTCCTAAGTATTTATGTAATTTCTAATTTTTATTAACGTGTATATATGTACATATATATATATATATATATATAGGTCCACACCACTCTAAATTATAGTAAGCACATCTACCAAATTTAATTTTAATGTTTAACCTTTGAGTTAGTTGGGTATTGTGACCAAGTGTTTCAATTATATTAAAGATTATTTGTTAAACTAAATTAATAGTCCATAATTGCGTTTAATTTAGTTCAGGAAATCACAAAATAAAATTTAAACAGTTCTGCATGGCTAATTGTTAAATTGAATTAAGCTCTTTTAGACGATTAGGATAGTAAATTGTTTTTGGCGTCGCTAGGGTTCTAGTCTAATTAGGAAAGCAGTTAACGGGCGTACCTTGTCTGTCGAAAAATTAAGAAAGAGTTGCTTATTAGGTGCGTGTTGGTAACTATAATTAATTTATTTAGAAACCAATAAAATTAAATATTTTATCGATGATCATATTCACTATCAAGTTTCAATTTCATTCATAGACTGGAAGTTTACTTTTATTGAGTTTATCTTTTATGTCGAGATCTGACCACACAGAAATTTTGATTTTCAATCCCGAGATTGAGAAGATTACGCATCAATTGAGAAAAAAAAACTAGGGAGCCTTGCCAAAAAGATTTTGCATCAGAATCATCTTGCGATTTTAGTTTTGACGTGACCAAGGTATAACAATAAATGGATCAGCAACATCTTTGTATTACATTCCTGGTGATAGAGGGTAAGGCTCTATTTGAATTGAAATCGAGACTAATATGCTTGTTGCCTTCTTTCCATGGTTTGTCCAGAGAAAGCGGCATATGCATCTTCAAGAATTTGATGTCGTCTGCGTGTAGGGGTGGCAATTCGGACCGGCCCGGTTTTGATTAATTAATTTTGATTTTAATTTTATTTAAATATATATTTATACTCCGTCCGTCCTGGATAACTTGTCATCATTACTGTAGATAGATTAATTTTGGTAAAATATAATTAGTAACTAATTAAGAAGTATATTAGTAAAAATAATTAATATAATAAAAATAATTATTGTATAAGAAAATAATTATAGATTAATATTAAGATATCTAAATAATTTAATTAAAATTAAAAAAAAATTATGAATTAAGATAACTGCGGCGGCTGGAGGAGCCTTCTCCTCCTTCAGTGCCGGCAGCGACGACGGAGGCAGGCCGGCGGAGCCTTCTCTTCCTTCTCCGGTGACGACGACGGCTGCAACAGCGACCACGCAGCAACGACGGCGGCGGGCCGGTGGAGCCTTCTTATACTTCTTTGGTGGCGGCGGCGGTTGAGGCAGTCCCTCTTTGTCTTTCTTATTCTTCTCCGGCGACGGCGGGGATGGTGGATCTACCTCATCTTTCTCTTCTTTTCCGGTGACGGCGGCGGCAGCGGTGATGGCAGCGGCGGCAGGGCAGCTGCTAAAATTCAGCATTATACAATTTTGTTTTTTTTTAAAAAAAAAATTCAATTGTATCGGAAATTCCGGACTATTCAAATTTCCGAAACTAGTTTGAGTAGTATTGGAATTTGCGAACCTACCAAAATAAGATCGAAAATTCTGAGACTACTCAAAATAGCTTCGGAATTTTCGAGCTATCCAAACCAGCAACGAGATATCTGTTACGGCTACATATCCGAGACAATGTTCGATGCAAAATAATAATAGGTTCGGACTTAGAAATGATATCCGATACAAATTTCCGAAGCTAAATCCAAAATTCTGGTAGTGATATAAGAATAAATTAAATATTCATCATCACATATTATAAACAATTAATATTATGTATCATGAAAATAAATTTATGATATTTGGATATCATTCTTTGGTAATATCGACACACACATGATGCTCTCACACGTGACAACCCTTTTGCTACTCTTCCTCTAGTCTCATATACAACAAGATATATAGTCAAAATCTTATACTTGCAAATTTGAGTTACAGAAATAACAAACAAACTACAGAGAAAAAAAAAAACCAACAACAATGGCAGGAAAGACAACAACTCATTCTTGAATGGCAGAGATCAAGCTTAATAGTGCACTGATGGTGGACCTCTCAGCCGCCACTGAAGGCATGGTCAAACAAAAGGCGCCGGTTAAGTACACAAGGCGGAATCGGCGCCAACCTAAGATTTGTGAACCTTCTTCATCCAGCCTAGAATACGGCCATGATGATGATGTTAGGGAGAAGAAAAAGTTAAGACTCGTCGGCGATTTAGTTCAACCTGACAGGGAGATTAGTGAAACGAAGAAAAAATTCAGTGACCAACAATGTTGTTGATATATATTGTATATATATTTATGTTTATGTATATAGCCCAACCCATAACCCCATATGTATAAATATGACGATGTACCCTAATTATTTCTCGAAAAATTCAGTTTATACCAATTATTCCAATATGGTATTAGAGCCCCAATTTCTCCCTGTATAACACAAATACACTGCCCGTCTGTTTCATTACCTTCTGGTTATTTTTTATTGATACCGCCAGCACGACCAGGTGCGCCACCGTGAGACCGGCCGACACCCAAAAAATCATGGCGAACGGCGGCGCATGGATCGATCATGCGCCCGACGAAGATCCAGCCGTCGGACGCCTCTCCGGCGTGTGGCAGCATGTGCGGCGGCGGTTTCCGGGGATCTTTATGCCGTCTTGCTCGGAACTCGATTTTGTCTCTCATAGTATAGTTTATTTTCCCATTTAAGCACTACTTGGTGATCGTCTATTTTTTTCATGTTTCAGGTTCAACTCGATTTTTTATTTTGCTCCCGTCAGCTATTTTTGCTAAAAGTATATACAGTTGTCGTACTGAAAATGTTCGGTACGGTATTATACCATATAAAAATTTATGATATACAATAATTTTGACGCTTTAGTATTTTTTCATACTATACTGCATCATTCGAGCAAATTGATATTTTTCACTCTTAATAACAGTGATAAATGAATTATTTTAATGAAGTATAAAAATCAAATTCTAAATCAAATATATTATTAACTAATTTTCAATTGTAAAATATCAAATCAAATATTTTTTATATTATATTAAAAATTAATTAAAAATTTCCGACATCACGTCAAAATTCTAGAGCTACTTTTAAATTTACAATAAAACAAATAATAAAAGTTAGGGGTATTAGTAATTGAATAAAATATAATTAAATTAGTATTTATTAATTATTACTAGAAATATGACTAATTTCGTGGGACAACCAAAATCGAAAATATGGACTAATATTACGGGACGGAGGAAGTATATATCATCATATATTTTAATATAAAATATCATATTATTATTATATAGACAATGTATTCACCAATTGACAATATCATTTCATTACAAATATATAAATTTTAGATAATAAGTAATTAATAATATTTTTATATTTTTTTATAGATTTTTATTTCCAAATATAACATATTTATTTTAAGTTAATTCATTTCCTTAATTAAAATGACATTAAATCAACTATTTTTAATTTCTCAATTACCCTTAACTAATATCGACCATAAGATTAAAATTTATATTAATCCAACAGCATAAAAGAATTTAGTGGTGCTAAATTTTACATAAGCTCAGCACCATACCAGTAGCCACCCATCAAACTAGACCTCAAAATTCTTGTCAGAATACTTCCAAATCTGGTGTCAAAAATGTTCAGCTTATTAATTCAGAAACACACCGTGCCTTTATTAAATCTCTGAATCAGAATAATAAAATCTCTCCGATTCCTGCCCGTGGACGTAGGTTGACACACCGTCATCGAGCCACGTAAAACCTCTGTGTTCTTTATTTGCTTTCTTTCTCGTTTTCTCGTAACAAAACTCTAATGGACTTCACACATTTATTTGAGGGTGGGTTGCATGTCAAATTTTAGGGTAGCATAAAATACAATCGAACTCAAACTTTTCAGAGGCCGGAAATATCAGGCATTTGGATCTGTTTAGACAAGAGATTGTTGGAAATTTTAGAGTTTTGAAAAACTTAGAAACAGTCAAATTTAGGAACAGTAAAGTAAAAAGTTAGTATTTTATACAATGATACATAAAATTTAGAAATAGTAAAATATGATGGGATGTCAAGGCTTTAACGACAACTAACTCATAAATAAATATAGCAATATATACAACATAATCAGTTTGTTCATTCAACTTTTTTTTATGAATTAATTTTTTGTTTGCGGCACGAGAAACTGTGTTGGTAATATAAAAAATACTTCTTCCGTCCCATGTATTATGGGCCTATTACTGTAGATACGGGAATTTAGATAAAGTGTGATTAGTAAGTAATTAAGAAGTGTATTAGTAAAAACAATTATTGTTTAATAAAAATAATTGTGAATTAAGATTAAGATAACTAAATAGTTTAATTAAAATTTAAAAAATTATAAAATTTAAAATTTAAAATGAGATTAAATTATATAATTATATTTCAAAAAAAGAATGGACAAATTATGTGGGACGGACGAAAATAGAAAATAGGGACAAATTATGTGGATGGAGGGAGTAATATTTTGCATTGGTTGACTTTTTATAAGTGAATGATATATATATAGTATTTTAAAGTAACCAGATTTTTTACAAAAATTAATCATATATTCTTCTCATTTAGAATTTTTAGTTATTCTCATTGAGTTATTGGTTTTAATAGTTAAGATATTGCCAAATTTTATAATAATCAAGATATGTATAGCAAACTATGCCCAACAATCTACTTCACACCGGCGAAAAAAAAAATTATTTGTTTATAGAGCCTATTATTTAATTTTTGCTCAAATCCTTGAAAATATTCGAGACTGCCCTGCTTTTCATGTATTAATTTTTTAATAATATTTATAAAATTTGTTCGGTTGGCAATTGCTGACTGCATATTGGTATGCATATCATGTGTATTGTGGCTTTATCTATAATAGTAATTTGAATTTTCTGATAGGAATATTCTGCATTGAGTAACAGCTAAGATTCCCAATCTACTTGCAGTGTCCTTCTATGTTAAAATTATCATAACATTGAAGTGGCTAGGAATTTAATGTACTTTAATCCTCGACACGATACCACAAATAAAATGAATTTGTTATGTTGTTGTTTTCTACCTAAATTTCGTTTCACATTGTACCTACCCCATAAAATAATTCAATCTTAATAATAAAGCTCCTTTAACAAATTCAACCTCAAACTTGGCGTCTGGTTTACAACTAAATTGCCATTTAGTAGCTGAGAATCTCTGTTTGTTTGAAGGGATGGCTATAGCTGCTTATGCATCTTTGGTTTCTCTTACTCATGTCCTCGACAATGTTCATTATCGTTCTCGATTCCGTCGCCTTCATGGAGACATAAAACAGATTGAGTCTCTCCGGGAAGGTGTTGATTTCTTATTAGATTTTCTCGAAGTTCGCTCGGAAAAAGAAGTTCGAGATGTTGATTTGTTGAGGCAATTATCTAAGATTGCCTTTGAAGCAGAGGAAATGTTCGATCTACATGTCGTGGATCAGCATCTACTGCGATACGAGGGAGTAAAACCTGATTTGGGCATTTCAGCTTTCAACGATGATATGGAGGGAGTGATCCAAAAGATTGAATTCATCAAGAAAAAGTTGTTGTTAAAGGAAGAGGTACTTGAAGATGTTCATTCTAGAAGACAACCAAAAGTTTTTCCACGTGGTGGCGCTTCATTGACTACTTCATCTGTTGGCAAGAAAACAATTGTAGGATTTGATGAACATGTTATCGCGATCATAGATGTGCTAACAAGAGATGAATCTAAGCTCGAAATCATCCCTATTGTTGGGATGGGGGGGATTGGTAAGACTACTCTAGCTAAAGCTGTTTTTGATAATCAATATATTTCCGATCACTTTGATAGACGCATCTGGCTTACGATATCAGAAGAGTATACTGTTCACGACATTCTAGTAGGTCTTTTATATGATGGGGAGGTTATTGCTCATGATGGAAGTTTGGATGGGTTGGGACAAGCTTTGTACCAGCAATTATTTGGTAGCCGATACTTGATTGTTATGGATGATGTGTGGAGCGAGCAAGCTTGGTATGACTTGAGAATGTTTTTTCCAAACAACAATAATAAAAGCCGGATTATGATGACTACTCGGCTTTCAAATGTGGCTTCTTCTTTAGGCACTCATAAACCATATTCGATGACATTATTAGATACCAATAAAAGTTGGAATTTGTTTTGTCAAGCCATTTTTGGTAACAAAGATTGTCCGTATCCAGAGTTAGAGGAATTTGGAAGAAAGATTGTAGAAAGTTGTAAAGGACTTCCTTTAGAAATTATTGTAATTGGTGGGCTACTTGCTAAGTCCGACATGTCTAGAAACTTTTGGGAGTTTATAGCGGATGACATAAGCTCCTTTGGTAATTCAAGATATGATGAACATTGCATAAAAATTTTGTCTTTAAGTTATAACAATTTGCCGATTCATCTCAAACCGTGTTTCCTCTTCGTGGGCTCTTATCCTGAAGATCAAAAGATTGTTGTCACTGACCTAATTCAGAGATGGATTGCAAATGGATTATTCAGAGCTATAGGTGAGAAAAGTTTAGAGGACATTGCTATGGATAACATCAAAGATCTCATTTCCAGGAATCTAATTTCTGTCCACTCACTCACAACCGGAGGTGAAATAAAAACATGCGGCATTCATGATCTCTTACGAGACTTATGCTTGAAAGAATTAGACAATGAGAAGTTTATTCAATCGCCGAAGGTGCAAGACACGAAGTATACAGGAGCTCAAGTACGATGCTTTCTCTGCGGCCATGAAAACACTTATCAGGAAGTGATGAATATCCCAGATTTTGATGTTTTATCGCCATCACTTTCGTCACCTCTAAGTCCTCCATCCATTTGTGCTGCTTGCAGCGCGACGTATTCGCATGTTACAAGGGCAAGATTAGTCGGGATGGTGAGTGATGCCTATGACCATTTAGTCTTTGTGCATCCTACTCAAGCGCGGTATGTTTCTGTATACAGTGCCGTAGATGTACAATCTATATTACCTGCATCGGAACTACTCTGGAATATTCAGACGTTAAAAATTGTCGTGTCAAGTTCGATAGTTTTTCCTGATGAAATTTGGGAGATGCCACAGCTTAGGCATTTGCAGGTCAGTTCGATTGCGACTACATTGCCAGATCCTGTGGCGGGGAAAGGCTCCATTATTCTCAAAAATTTGCAAACCCTTTTCGAAATACAAAACTTCAAGTGTACTAAAGAAGTCTTGAACAGAATTCCAGATTTAAAGACATTGAGAATTACATTTAACTCTGAGTTTAAAGAAAGTATGGCATCGTCGGACTGTTCTCTTTTTAATCTTATACAGCTCAAGAAACTTCAGTCACTACAAATAACACGTGCTTGGGAGAATGTTGCATTTCCGAAGTCTCTTAAAGAGTTGTCTTTGAAGGATTGCAGTAGTAGAGTTCCTTGGAGCAGATTGTCGATCATTGGCTTGTTGCCGAATCTTGAGAAGCTTGAACTGATTAATGCCACTGTAGGATCTGAATGGAATCCAATTGAGGGTGAATTTCTTCGATTGAAAAATTTAATCATTTGGTATTCTGATCTAGTGCAATGGACAGCTGATAAGGAGCACTTCCCGACTCTCGAGCGCCTTCAGCTTTGGTCTTTAAAATCGTTGGAAGAAATCCCTTTGGGCATTGGAGATATTCCGACATTGAATAGAATTGAATTGATTGAATGCAGCAGATCTGCTATCGACTCGGCATGGCAGATATGGGAGGAACAACAGAGCATGGAAAATGAGACGCTTGAGATTTTTCTGAGGAACAATATGGAATGGTACTCGATCAGCGATTTCATGGCACGACAGATAGAAGAAAATGAGTGTGAAGATGAAGATTAAGATAATGCATCTGAAGATGGTTGGCACTGACAGGTATGTTTTATAATATTCTAATGCTTGTGATCCTTCTTTCTTTGTGTGTGTGCCTTGAACTACAAGAAGTAGTTGTTTGTTCTATGTTTTTATTGGGAGATATTGAGAATTGTGAAAGTATTACCGGTAGAGATTTGAAAGAAAATTAAGAACAATGTGGATTCGCTGAATGTTGCAGATTGTAGGAAAGGGAATAATCTTTACAACATATCGGAATACTTGCATTACCGGTTTCGATCTAATTTGAATCCAATTAATGATATTTTCAGGTGGATCTGAGATAGGATCTCTTGGGTGTCTTGTGTTTGGTTGTTCTAAATTTGGTTTCAAAAACAAGCAGAAAGTTTAAATTATGACTGCCTGTCGAATTGTTGGAGAATCTTTCGAAGATGTTTTCCATAAAATTATGCAGCTATTATTATTATTTGAAGACTGCATTTATTTTTTTTATCATATTGTAACTCATTTACGGAGAAGAATGTGTGAGCAAAAGACTTTTATAGTATCATGTAATGAGTATATTTATTCTATTCGATCATCCGAGCTATGGACAAGATTGATAGATTATTTGGAAAATCTGAAGAATTATCAATGGGAACATTTTTTTGTTTTCTTTTGGTTTTTCACTTATTACCTTTTCTTGCAATAGTTACTTAATGATCAATCTTAGTTCATATGTATGTACTAAAATTTGTGATCCTCAGTAAATGAGCTGTTTGTTTGTCGCGCCTTTAATAGACAATGTCGTTTAGGAAGACCCATTGTTCACCATAAACAAATTTTTCTCACTCTTTTGGAACTAGTAGACGAACATTTATCATATTTCTATTTGGTACGATAATTTTATTAATAATGTATATTATGAACACTAGCACATTATGAACCTGTTGTGCTGTAGTGTCGCGTGTTGAAGAAGTCCGGGTGTGCCAAGTTGGACAAAATCAGAGTTATGTGATACTAATTTGCAAAAAACAAGAGCCAAATACAGTGTAAGAATGATCTGTAAGAATGATCTCCCATATCAAATCATCATAATTGATAGATATCAAATCTTCAATAATTCTTCAATTTACATGAATTGTGCCCATTCCTCCCAAATCATACAAGCTGCAGTACAATCCTTCGAACACTATGGACCACAATGAGGAATGAAATATGAAAATTTTATCTACTGTGCTCAAAGAATGCTAGAGTCAATCCACTACAAATCCGAGTAAATTGTAAATTTTAAATAATTCAAATACGTTAACGAATGTGCAAATTTTGCATGCGGAGTCTATGAATTTAACATTTCCGAAATGTCCACCTACAATATTTTTTAATGTCTCATATAACATCTCACAACTAAAATGTACTAATTTCCTTACCACAAGTAAGTGCACCTTCTTCAGCAAAGGTAAGCATGCAAGGACTCGACCTCCATTGGTTGTGCTCTAGCTTAAGACATTAATGTATGCAACCTATCACCTTCTATTCCGTCAAAACTTCTTGGAATCCCTTTCTTTAAACTCATCACAGAAATACATTGGAGTTCATCGGCACAACAGACATCTAGAAACCCTTTAGGATGTCTTCTTCGGTTTCATGAATCCAAAAGCTTCAGGCATGTTTACCACAGGAGAAAATCTTCTTAGATTCCTATCTCTCAACATATGAGCAAACCTCTCTATGAACCCCTAAAATAATAAAGCATACTCTCTCGACAAGAAAGTAACAATCAAACTATTACACCATGAGATTTTGGCACACCTCATACTACTTTTCAGAACATGTGAAACGTGTTTGGCATGCCTCACATCCAATAAATGCAATTTAATAGTCTAAGACGAAACTCACCCAAATTGACATTTTGTGTGCAAACCTTTTTCTACACTCCTTTCCCTTCATCATCAGCAATATTTTTCTCTGTGGGGATTCATCTCCTCTTGAACTCCTTCACAAACAGGTGTTTCTTGGGCATAGTAACACACCAACGAAAACAGCAACAAAGGTTGGTTCTAAATTAACAATATCAGAAGCAATAGGGGTTGGTTCGGGACTAGTAACCGCAGAAAAAAATTTCTTAATCTGCGGCAGGTGCCGTTACCCCTGCCACATTCTCTCTGAGTTTCTGCAGAATCTCACGACTGTTCAAACCAGCCCAATTTCTGTCCCGATTCCCACTGCCTCTCGCATTTGGTGGGTTTGTGTCCTGTGTTTTTGGTGGATTTCATGGACTTGTTGTCGCCTCTAGCTCTATAGAATTTGCGGTCCAAATTCTGGTCCAAACTTAGCACTAGCTGAGGATCATGTCAATAGATCCGAAGTCCTAGTCGTTCATTGGCATGGACTTCAAAAGGTGGTAGTTGAAGAAACTCTTGTACCAGACCACAATAGAGTGCTTGTGTTCATAAAGGACTACCACCTCATCTTATTGCAGTGATTTCGGTATTTGGAAGGAAAACAACGCCCAGTCAACTCTACAACTAAAGAATCTAGGCTTTGGAAAAGTCAATCCCTTATGTGTTCCCATAATTTTCATTCTGCTCTTCCTTTGGGATTAGTCTCCACTTGAAACAGTTTGCACAATGATAGTTTTGTGGTAAGTGTTTGACTAAATAAGATTGTTCTTGAAACTTACTAAAATCACAACATATTGTTTTACTATTGAAACTTAAAAATTTACCTTTCTTGGCTTACACTTGACCAGAAATTAAAATGAATTGTTTAGAAGAGAACCAACAGAGTACTTTTCGATCTGTTGTGATCTATCCTTTGTAATCTTCTTAAAACACTCATTTCTACTATGCTTTCCAGGTATTTTTTCTCCATTTTTAGCATACTTGAGTGGCTTCAATTTATCATGCATGAGCCCATGTAAATTGTATGTAATCATTACGAAAAAATAATTTACAAGTAAAAAAAAGTATGTAATCACTCCAAAGAGCTAACAATTTAGCCAGGGAATAATTCCCTAGCTAACAGAAAATCCCTCGCAAAACTTTGATTCGCGACGAAATTTGTAAAGCAAAATATTCTGTCGCAAATCCTTCAATCACAACATTTTATGATGCTTCTTCATTCTGATTTTCTGAGATGTTGCAAGGGATAAAATGTCAAGCTATTGTTATCAAGTCCACTAGAGATTAAATCATTCCTGATTATTATAGCATATTGGGGGTCGATCCATTAGCTGACGAGGATACCTTCACTACAAAAAAAAAATAGTATAATTGTAACGGAATTTTGTTCCTAAAGTTCACGTAGCTAACGTAATTCCATTTCTAATTCCGTCTCTAATATCATTAGTAACGGAAAAAGTGAATTTAGGAACAAAAAAATCTAGTTACAAAATTGATAATTTCTTGTAGCGGAAAATGGCCCTCTCCCTTCACCCTGTTAAGAACAAATCAGTAGGAGCAGATGGAGCCTTTCAAATACTGTCACAGGCATGGAGTGTACGTACTATTCGACAAAGAGAGCAGAAATGCATATAATTTGAAGATTAACATACTGCCTTGGAATCAAAGTGGTAGTGCTGCTTCAACTAGTGGTTCACATATGGCTTTCTCAACTTCTACTGATCCAACACGTTTTTCTCCGAGACCAACAGCAAGTCAGCAATACCGTTTCGCTGCACCGCATCTGAGATGTTCAAAATTCACCGCACATGGTGCGGTGTTCCTTTCCATCAGGATAACTTTTCAGGATCTGTCCCGCCAAACTTTCCTGCAGTCGGAGTACCTAATCCATCACGGCCTCCTAGGAATGATAATGTGTCTTCAACAGGGATATCTGCACCCAACTTTTTTTCTTCAAATACAGCTGCTGACTATCATAATGCAGCAGACTCAGTGCAGTCCATGTCGAGTGCTAACCAGGCAAGACCGAACACACTTTGAAATCTTGCATTTGGTGCAAGACACACTTTGAGTACCGAAATTTGTATTTGAACAAGAATCTGGAGTGTCCTCTGTGCAAACTGTTAGCAAGAACAAGAAGAGAAATGCACAACAAAGAAAATACCAAAAAAGAACAAAGGAGAATTTGTATTTCTTCTATTAAATATATTATCTGAAACAATAATTATTAAATATTAGAAATTCAAATTTTAAACCAACGGTTGCAACTCCTAAATATAACTTAATACAACTTCTAAAATATATGCACATATTATTTATTTAATAACAATAATAATTTGAAGCACTTAATTAGCACTCCCCTTTGCTTCAAAGCTTGTGACTCCTATACGCATCATGAAATATGTTGGAATTGAGAAGTTGTGGAAGAGAATTATAACGGAGAGAAATTTTATTAGAAATGAACCTTGATGTTTCTTATTTTTCAAATGCTCATACTACATGGACATTTATAGGAAGATTATTTGTAGTAGGTAAAATTTATTAATACATTGAATAGTAAAAGTCTGTACTTAATCTTTGGTGCCTTGGAATTCTTATTCTTTTTATTTTGTTATTACAAATTTTATCTAAAACCCCCCTCTTAATTTGTAATTCCAATATCTTTCTCGAACGGTTGAAGCTTCTCTTCGGTGACTTCCTTAGTGAGTGCATCGACATGCTGTGTTGTGGTCCTAACATGCTCCGGTAAGATTCTTTTTTCTTGCACCGTTGTACGGATAAAATGATGTCTCAGCTCGATGTGTTTTGTTCTTCCATGAAACACTAGATTCTTTGTCATAGAAATTGTTGTCATATTATCACAGAAAATTGGAGTGGGTCCATCAACTCTCTGTAACAAATCATTTAAAATTCTTCTGAGCAAAACTACTTCTCGAACCGCTTCATTCGCGGCAATGTACTCCGCCTCTGCGGATGACATACAACTGAATTTTGCTTGTTCGAACTCCACGAAATTGCTTTTAATCCCAAGAAAAAAATGTGTCCCGATGTCCTCTTCCTGTCATCTTGGCTTCCGGCCTAATAACTGTCCCTGAATCCAAGCAACTCATTGTTCTCCTCCCTCGAATATTTGATGCCAAAATGTTTTGTCCCTTGAATGTAACAGAGAATCCTTTTTGCAGCCGAAATGTGACTTGCTTGGATTGCTCATAAATCTGGAAATCAAACTTACAACATGTAAGATATCCGGCCTTGTGTGTGTTAGGTAGATGAACTATCCCACAAGGCTCTGATAAATGCTTCGGTCGAATTTTTCTGCACCATCATCAAACTTCAGGGCCATCGTTGTTGCACCAGGCTTGCAATTCTCTATTCTAAACTTCTTTAGCATGTCTGCAGCATACTTTTCCTGAGAGATGAAGATACTTCCATTTTCTTGCATTACTTGAATTCCGAGAAAATACTCTATCATTCCGAGATCTGTCATTTCAAACTTTCTCATCATCGTTTCTTTGAACCATTTCACCGCATCATTTGTTCGTGCATAGATTAGATCATCAACATATAGACAAACCCTCAAAAAATCATTCTCACTTTTGTTTCACGTAGAGAGATGGTTCAGAAAGACTTTTAAAAAATCCATTTTTCCGGAATATGCATCAATCGTATTGTTCCAGCATCTCGGCGCTTGCTTCAGCCCGTACAATGTTTTGTACAGCCTGTACAGTTTTTCCTCTTTGCCTTTTGCTTCAAATCCTTGTGGTTGTTTAACGTACACCTCCTCTTCTAGTTCACCATTCAGAAATGCAATTTTTACGTCAAATTGGAATACTTTCAACTCCAATTGTGCTGCAATTGCATTTCTGTAATAATATTTACGGACTGATTATACATTTGTCATAGCATAGGTGTATTTGGTTTGGGTTTCAAGTCCAAATGTTTGTTTATTTAGCCTATAGGGTTTGTAGGATTCCTAATAAAAATATGTTATCTTTTTTTCACAAAAGTATCACATCAAAAATTCAAAATGTTATCTAAGTTAAAAGTCAAATTCAAATCAAAATCAAACAAATTTGCATTGACAACATTAACTTATATTATGGGATTGAATATTGAAAAAATAAATCGTATATAAATACATTTACTATTTTAATATAGTTTAACAACTTGGGCACTTACTATCATTTTGATAAGGGAATAAAATGTGTATTTGGTTTAGGTTTGAAATCTAAATCTCCATTCTTCAATCTATATGATTTTTAATAAAAATATATTATTTAATCTCACAAGATATTCATACAAAATACTACTTACATAAAAAAAATTTTAATCACAAACCTAGTGGCATTAGTTTGGAGACCAAGTTTATTATTTATTTTTAATAACTATATAATAATATAATTTAAATTAATATAATTATTATTATATAAAATAAAAATTATTATTTGTAATATAAATATGTATAGATATAATATTTTAATTGTACATTAAATTTTTTTATAACACTATAATATATAGATAATATATATTTAATTAAATTTTAAAGTTTTCTGTAAAACTTAAAAACTTTCCGGACTAGATACAAAAATAAATATACAAAAATAAATAGTTATTATTATTATTATAAAATAATTTTTTACTTATATAAATATTATTAAACCCTTATTTTACTTTACCCTACTTTTTTCCAGTAGCTGCGGCCGCCACACCTTGCTTCCTCTTTACCCTACTTTTTTCCAGCTGCTGCCACACCTTTCTTTCCCATTCTTCAACTTCCTTTTTCCTCCTCTCGTCTTCCATTTCACCGCAGGTAAAGTCTGGTGTCATTGTTTCTTAATTTTTCTTCTTGTTCTCTGATCTTCCTCTCCAGTGTCCGCCATCGGGTTCAGAGTGCAAAGATTTTTCTTTCTTCTTCCCATGTAATGGAGATTCACCGGCGACCACCGAGTTTGGGGGGCAGCGGACCCTCTGGGTTCCCGCGTAACTCGGCCCTTGGTTTGGGGGACTTGGAGGTTAATTGGTTCCATAGCTTAATTAATCATTGTGGAGCTGCAATGGTATCTAATAATATAATTATTTTTTTTTTTTTTATTATGTTTGTGATTTCAGGGTGACATTCAGTTGCTACGTTCCAATGCAACTTTGTACAATTACAAACCTTATATTGTATGCCATAAGCAGGTTTGCAGCCTTTCTTATGGATTAGGGTTTAGGGTTTGGAATGTGTGGTTGATACTGCATTTTCATTTCTTTTGATACTTTTGTGAAATGCTATGAAAAATAATGGAATGAATGAATTTAGGCCCTTGTCATACAAAAGATAGCTGTGGAAGAGTTTGGAAGATTTAAAGATCATGAGGGCAAAGACGAAGTGAACGAGAAGGATAAGGAGGTCAAACTGCAAGCTGTGCATAAAAGGTTATTAAAGTTAAAGGACAAGAATCTAGCAAACGACGGATCGACTGAGCTATCACTGGTTCCTGCAGTTGCTGCAACTGAAGACGACCATGGAACAAGTTCTGGTCATTCCAATTTGAGAAAGGTGCCGACAATATCTAAACAACAACGACTGAGCTCCTCCCAACCATTGGCTTATAACTGGAATGGAGAGTTCCCAGGTTTGTACTTTTGTGTGTTATTATAGCACAATTGCTGCTTCTAAAATTTCATTTTCACATCAAGGGTCTCGCAAATTAGGTTAATGTGATTGTCTCTTTACTTGCAGCTTCAGTTGTAAGGACAGATGTTAAGCAGGACTGGAAAAAAATAAGCTTCGTACCGGTATGTTCGAATAGCCTTTCAACTAGCTTTTCGATAACATGATTTCCATCCTCAAAAAATAAGCTTACAATTCTAACAATGATTTGTGTTTCCATTTCTTCTGTAAAATGCTATGAAAAATAATCGTATGAATGTATTTAGGCCCTTGCCATACAAAAGCTAGAGGCAGAAGAGTTTGGAAGATTTAAAGATCACGAGGGCAAAGACGAAGTGAAGGAGAAGGATAAGGATGTCGAACTGCAGTTGCTGCAAGCTGTGCAGAAAAGGTCCTTAAAGTTAAAGGACAAGAATCTAGCAAACGACGGATCGGCTGAGCGATCACTAGTTCCTAAAACTGAAAACAACCAAGGAACAAGCTCTGGTCATTCCAATTTGAGAAAGGTGCCGACATTATCTAAACAACAACAACGAATGAGCTCCTCCCAACCATCGGCTTATAACCGGAATGAAGAGTTCCCAGGTTTGTACTTTTGTGTGTTATTATAGCACAATTGCTGCTTCTAAAATTTCCTTGTCACGTCAAGGGTCTCGCAAATTAGGTTAATGTGATTGTCTCTTTACTTGCAGCTTCAGTTGTAAGGACAGATGTTAAGCAGGGCTGGAAAAAATTAAGCTTTGTACCGGTATGTTCGAATAGCCTTGCAACTAGCTTTTCGATAACATGATTTGCATCCTCAAAAAATAAGCTTACAATTCTAACAATGATTTGTGTTTCAGAGTTTATCAAGAGGTTTGCCCAGACAAAAATGATGAAATGAACAGATTGAAGATAGAAGAGAAGTAAAAAAAGCTATGACAATTGTGTCTATTGATTTTTGTGATCAGTGAATTTATTAATGGAATTTTAAGTTGGGATTAGTTGTATGATGTGATATAAATGAGTATTGATACGATAATGTAAAATTGATTTTTTAATATAATAAAAATAAATAAATATTTGATTTGTTCTTTTATAGAGACACTGATGGTGGCAATAAGTGTTTTTCTTTTTATTTATGAAATTTGTTGGGTGTTATGTGTAACTATCATATATACATATATATCATTTCTTCATAAAGATATGTGTGCTTATGAAAGTGTACATATTTATTATTTATGGTAATTGTTTATGATAAAATGTGTATTAGATTTTGTTTTAGGGTGCTTATCTTTTGTTAACTTTTCATTAAAAAATATGCAATGACTATTATATTTTTTTAAGAAAAACTATTTGTATTTGTATATAATAAATATTGAAAAAATTAATCAAAATACAATGAATCAAACCTAAGTGACCATTATTTACGTATTGATAGAAATATTTTTTAATTAGCATCATGTTGAATTTTCTATGTTGCATAAATTTATTAAAGTAATGGTCATATCTACTGCAACTAAAAAATAATTAATTTTAAAATTTTTTTTTTCTGATTGTACTTGTTCATTTTTATCACTGTCATTAAATGTTTTTTTAAAAAGAAGACTACGTTTAGCAGGAAATACACATTTAATATCCATAATTAAAGTAATTTTGTTTGCAACAGGCGTATTATTACAAAATTCTTCATTTCTATATTTTTCAAAAAATAATAAAACATCTTCTATTTGTTTGATAGCCGTATCAATACCTACAAATTCCGATTATAATTTTTTACTCACACTATTAATAACAAATACACTATCATACCATGTAAAAATTCATAGGATTCAAGTCAACCTAAATTTTCAGCTTCACGTCATCACATAAATTAATTAAATCTAACAAAGCTAATATAATTTGAGGGGTTTGAAATCTAATAGCTTTAATACTTTTAACTCAACTTTCTCAACGAGTATTTGACAAAGATTTTAAAGTAAAATTTGAAATATTATCTAGCAAAAATTTCCATTGTTTTTTCGAGCTTGAAAATAATGTATATATATGTTGCACAATTCCAAAAAATGATACCGCTTTTGTACAAAAATGTGTCATATCACAAAGTGTAAGATTAAAATTATGACAAGCATTTACATTTAAGTAATCTTTTTTGAACTCCTTGATGTTTACCTTTCCATTATGACCTCTTATATTATCAATATTAAGATCAAGGTATTCAAATGCATTTTCAATTCATTAAAAAATCCTAAATGACTTGTATCTTCTACTTGCAAAAAATGTAAAAAATATTCTTCGATTTCAATTTTACTACTTGACATATCTATACAACGCACAATTAAAGTCATTTGTTCTTGGTGACTAATATATGAGTACAATCTAGAATTATTGAAAAATATTTTCACTCTTTGATCATTTTTATAATTGAATTTCTAACACTATAAGCCAATAAAGAAATTAATTATTTTTGATTTTTTTGACCAAGACAATGATAATGAACTTCATTATTTTGAATACGTCTAATATGATATTGCATACCTATATCAAATTCGGCAATTATTTTAATTATTCCTAAGAAATTACCATTACTGTCTTGATAAAAATTTACATTCGAACCTCGAAAAGCTAAATTATATTTAGGAAGACATTTTACGACATAAATTATTCTAATCAAATTATTCTCCAACGTTCTTTTTCTTTTATAATTTCTTTTTGAATATCCTTATCAATTGTTTGATCTTTATTTAATCTTATTTTTAATTTATTCTAAGTATTTATATATGTTATATGTTCAATACTATTTTCATGTTGTTTAAGTCTTTCGCTAAATGTTTTTAATATTTACATTCATTTGCCAACAAATATTTAATGTTATTTTTCTTAAACATTTTATAACAAAAACAATATATTTTATCTGCATATTTAGAATAAACTAACCATTTTCTATCATTAATTTCTCCATTATTTAATTTTCTATAGTAATGAACAAATGAAAAATGTCTAGAAGTCTTATCTAATGGACATTTACTGTTATTTTTCATAAACATTTTACAACAAAAATAATATATTTTATTTGCATGTTGAATAAACTAACCATTTTCTACACTAATTTCTCTATTATTTAATTTTCTAGAGTAATGTATATATGAAAAATGTCTAAAAGTTTTATCTAATAGAAAAGTAAGACCTAATTCTCTTCTAGGTCCATTTTCAATTAAAATATTTTTTTGTATATTATTAAAATTATCCTAATTTCTAGGATCATAAATATTTAAATAAGAAATATATAACACTATCATCAATCTCTATCTCTAGTCCTATTATTATTATTATTATTATTGATAATATTGCTATTGACAATATTTTTGTTATTTAAATTTTCAATACATATAGAAGGACCTATATTTTTATTGAAAATTTTATCCAAAACTAATTTTTGTGATTTTATTAATTGTTCATATTTTATTTTTTCACTTCTTGATTAATGTTTTTAAGATAGTATTTAAAAAATCTATAAATATAAGTAAAACAATAAAAGAACAACACACTTGACAATAACTAAATTTTTCTCTTTGTCAATTGTTTCTTTTAGTATACTTTGCTACATGCATTGAAAAAATAATAAATAATATACATAATGGCTCGTTGAATCACCGGGAGAGCGCTGGCATCGGCTTGTCTCAGTTGCTCCAATTTCCTTGCAGCATTTTGGTGAAGCTCTTTTTCCTCGGCTGGTTCCACAAACCCTTTATCTAGAATCTCCTACATGTCAAGCTACCGGAAAATTGTCTTCATTTTGACTCACCAGAAGTCGTAGTCTACTCTATCAAATTCTGAAATGAGGTGGCTGGATGAAGTCGACGTACTAGTGCGATGGAAGCCACCAGGTCGGAAGGATTTTTATCTCTAACACCAAATGTTGGTTTTTTTTTTATTATACAACGAAAGTTTGAGGCTTATATATATATATATATATATATTACAATAAAGTCGTAACCGACACCTATTAAAGCCTATAACCAACTTTTGAATTTAAAATTCAAAATTCACACACATTAATTCTCAACAATTTAGATAATACAAAGTTACTTAAAATTCACCATAAAATAAACTAAGCATAAGCAGAAACCGTTTAGAATATTCAACTTTTTCTTTTTCTTTATTTTTATTTTTTATTTCTCTTTTCCATTTACTTTTTGCTAGAAATAATTGTATAATTTGTATTTATAATGGTAAAAGGAGAAATGTTGGATATAGATGAAAGTAAGTTGCAAACATTATATTTTATAATGTCACAAATTATAAATACTAGCAAATAGATTGAGAGGAGGGAATAATTTGATACTTTATTCGACCACTCTAATTGCAGTGTGGGCCTTTCAATTATTCGATTCCATTGCCACCTTATGTCCTCTTTTCCTTTTTAGATCATACGATCTTCACTTTTTGTAACTTTAAAATTATTATGGCAAAGGCTAATCATTCACTCTTATCATGTTTCTCTTTCTTCTACTTCTTCATCCCAGAAAACTCCTATTTTCTTTTTCACAGTTCGAAAGTTTGCAGATTTAAAGAGATGTCTGTAGCTGCCTATGCATCATTGGTTTCTCTTACCCATGTCCTCGAAAACATTCATTACCGAGCTCAGCTTCATCATGTTCATGTGGACATAAAACGCATCGAAGCTTCCCAAGAAATTGTCAATTTCTTCTTAGAATTTGTTGAAGTACACTCACCAAAAGAAGGGCGAAAAATCGATGATTTGTGGAGGCAAATATCTAAAGTTGCCTTTGAAGCAGAAGAAATCATTGATTTGCATGTCGTAAATCAACTTCAGGTTCGATTTACTGGAGTGAAAGTTGATTCGGGCTGTTCCAAATTCAACCAAGATATAGACGGAGTGATCCGAAAGCTTGACCTCATCAAGAACGAATTGTTGGTGGTGGATGTTGGATTTGGTAAACAATCCAAAGTATCTGAGGATGGTGGCAACTCAATGACAGTGAGCGGGGGAACTTCATTGAAAACTAAGTCCGGTGGAAAGACTACGATCGTGGGATTAGATGAGCAAGTGGTCGCGATTATGGATATGCTGACTAGAGGCCAACCTGAGCTCCAGATCATCCCTATTGTTGGGATGGGGGGTATCGGTAAGACTACTCTAGCTAAAGCTGTTTTTGACAATCAATATATTGTCGAACACTTTGATAGACGTATTTGGTGTACAATATCACAAGTGTACGATGTCCAGGACATTCTACTAAGTCTTTTAAAAGATTTGAAAGTTGGAGCACCTGATGATGATAAAATTGGGGAAACTTCGCACAAAGAATTGTTTTGTCATCGGTACCTGATTGTTATGGATGATGTCTGGAGTATGCAAGCATGGGATGATTTAAGGAGGTTTTTCCCCGATAATTGTAATAGAAGTCGGATTTTGATTACTACTAGGCTTTCTCAAATGGCTGGTTCCTTAGGCTGTCCTAACCCATATTCGATGACATTTTTAAATGCGAATGAGAGCTGGAATTTATTCTGTCGTACAGTTTTTGGGAAAGAATATTGTCCGTACCCAGAATTAGAGGAATCTGGAAGGAATATTGTGAAAAGATGTAAAGGACTTCCATTGGAAATTATTGTAATTGGTGGCTTACTTTCAAAATCCGACATGTCCCGGGAATACTGGGAATATGTTGCAGAAAATGTAAGTTCATTTGGTAATTCAGGATACGATGAACATTGCTTAAAAATATTATCTCTAAGCTATAAGAATTTGCCAATTCATCTCAAACCATGTTTCCTCTTTCTCGGCTCCTATCCTGAAGATCGTAAGATTGGTGTCACCGACCTAACTCAGAGGTGGATTGCTAATGGATTAATAAGAACTGTGGGTGAGAAAAGTTTGGAGGACATTGCTATGGAATTCATCAAAGATCTCATTGCTAGAAATCTATTTTTTATCCATGAACTGACTTCAAGTGGTGAAATAGATGTCTGTGGTATTCACGATCTTTTAAGAGACTTTTGCCATAAAGAATTTGACAAGGAGAGGCTTATGCTATGCCCAAGGGTGCAAGTCGTGAAATACACCCGTGGAAGTTCATGTTTTCTTTGTGGCGAAGCACTCCGCTATAGAAATGAGAGAGATGTCGCGAAAGTTGTTCTTTTATACCCTTCACTGTCATCGCCAGTTCGTTCTCCATCAGTTTGTGGTGCTTGCAGAAGGATTTATTCTCAAGTTACTAAGGAAAGGTTTGTGGGGATAATCTGTGAGGACTATGAAAATTTAGCATTGCTGCATCATACTCAAGTTCGATTAATTTCTTTATATAGTTATGCAAGGGTGAGACATGTATTGCCAGGATCACATTTTCTCTGGGATCTTCAGACATTAAAAATAGATGTGTATGATGGGTCGAGAGCGACATATTTGCCTAGTGAGATATGGGAAATGCCACAGCTTAGGCATATTTATGTCGGCGATGGTATTTTGCCCGATCCTGTAGCTACTCATGTCGATGGGGAAGGCGCCATTATTCTCAAGCAGCTGCAGACTCTTTCTGTAATACACTACTTCAAGTGCACTGACAATGTCTTGGACAGAATTCCAGATCTTAAGACACTTCAGATCACATACGACTCTGAGTTTGACGAAAGTATAGCTTTGCCGGGGCATTCTCTTTGTAATCTTGTCCAACTTCAGAAGCTTCAGTCATTGAAAATAACACATGCTCTAGAAAACATTGCATTTCCGACTTCACTTAAAGATTTGTCTTTGAAGGGATGCAGATGCAGAATTCCTTGGAGTGAATTGTCGATCATCGGGTCATTACCCAATCTTGAGAAACTTGAATTGATTGATTCGACCGAAGGGTTTGAATGGAATCCGGTTGATGGAGAATTTCTTCGATTGAAAGAACTGACCATTGCTAGTACTAATCTAGTGCAATGGGTAGCTGATCAGATACACTTTCCTACTCTTGAGAAGCTTCACCTTTATTATTTATACTCATTGGAAGAAATCCCTTTAGGCATTGGAGACATTCCAACGTTACGTGCAATTAGTTTGGTTAAATGCAGCGAATCTACCATCGATTCAGCGTGGCAAATATGGAAGGAACAAGAAAGCGTAGAAAATGACACCCTTGAGATTTGTATCAGCCACTATGAGAGATGGTACTCAATCAAGGATTTCATGGCACCACGTTGGAAAAATGACGAGTCGGAAGATGAAGAAGATGACGACTCCAAAAGTAGAAGCGAAAATGAAGTTGATAAGCCTAAAAATATAGGCAAGATGAAGCTGATGAGTCTAGAGATGATCCACAGGTACTTTTTAGAAACCATTCTCCAAATATTCTATGATACTCTAAAGTTTTTTTCTCCATAATTTTTACAGATTGATATACGGAGGGAGACGAATTATGCAGCTTTGGTTTCCCTTATGCGTGTCATCGGCAGTGTTCATTGCTGTGCTTAGCTTCGTTGCCTTAAAATTTATGTAAAACAAATTGAAATTTTCCTCTGATTCACTGTTGGTAATTTTTGATAATCTGACTGTTTGTTATCCTTCTTTAACTTGCTACATTGAATTCTGTAACTATGAAATTAAAGTCTAAAGTAGACATGAAAGTATTCGATATGTTGTATGACTTACCAGATGTTAGAGAACATGCCTCAAATTCTATTGTGTTGTTTTGGTGGGCTTACTGAAAATTTTCAAGAGTGTGACTCTTAAAAAGTATCAGAAATTATTGACAGTTCTAATTATGAGCATGGCTAAGCAAACAGTTAATATTCTGAAATTTAAACCTACAGCTGTTAATTACAACATTGCAATTTAAAATCATAACACCAATCTGTTCTTGCTTTCCAAATTCAACATCTTCCCATACCTTAGAAATTTACCTGCACAAACCATCAATACTCTGGCCTTCTCGTCCTGAATAAACTCAACTAAATTCCAACAAAAAGCGACACTTTCATCTAATGTTTTTTCATGTCAACATCTTCAAGCTTTCTCAAGAATGAAATTCTTCTTTTCACATCTTCAATCTTCTTCTGTTGTTTTCTCTTTGCATACAAAACTTAAAACAATGCTTCACTAGAGCAACATTTATGCTATCATCTTTATAATCAAATCTTCATTGCATTTAGTTGTAGTATTTATAACTAAGAAATGTACAAATTTAAAAGGATAAAATCATGATATTTTCACTATAATCAATACTGCAACGAAACCTATTTTCAAGAGAATCCAAAAAAATAAGAAAACTGAAAGAAATTTTTAGCAAAATTGTGACAATAAATACAAGTATGTCATATTGTGGATATCAACATACCTCATGAATCAAAGTCTTCGTACTTGAGTTCCCTCCAAGCCTCACCAGAAGCACCAATTTGATGTCTTCTCAAATGTTTATCATAAGCAAAAATCTGGAGGCTGTCATTTCCCAAACTCTCTTGTTCTTCCCACAATTCCTTTAGTGATCTGATAGCTGAATCACTGCAATAGTACACGTCGATAGAACGCAATGTTGGTATATCGCCAATACCTAAAGGGATCTCCTCCAAGGAACTAATGGAACTTAATTTAAGCCATTCCAGTTTCGGAAAGTGAATTCTGTCAGCTCTCCACCACACCAGATCACTGCATTCAATATGAAGTCCTTTTAGTCGAAGAAATTCTCCTTCTATTGGATCCCACTCGAGCCCCTCAGTAGCATTCTCCAGTTGAAGTACTTCAAGATTTGGCAGCGAACCAACGATTGTCATATTCTCCCAAGGAATTCTACAATTCCATAAAACCAGCATTTTGAGCGAACTCGGGAAGATCATGTTCTCCAAATAATCCTCGACTAGCAATGATTCAAGTTTCTGTAGTTGGACAAGGTTGCAAAGAGAATAGTTCTCTAATTCCATTCCCTCAGGTTCAAATTCACGATGAATTCCCAGTTTCTTAATGTTTGGGATTCTATCAAGGACTTCCTTCGTACACTTGAAATTTTGCATGTAGGAGATTGTTTGGAGATTTTTTAGGACAAAGAAATCTTCCTCAATTCCGGGATCGGGAAAAAGAGCATATAAGATGTCGAGATGCCTGAGCTGTGGCAACTCCCATATTTCACGTGGTAGGACCACCTGATGTGCCTCCTCAACTTCAATAACCAAAGTTTGAAGGTTCCAGAGAAAATATATCATGGATGGAAAAACAAACTTGACATCATCAAGAAAGAGGTTCACCGAAATATACCTCGCTTGTGTAGATTGCACAAGTTCGTAGTACGAACCATAAGAAATAGCTTCCATTACACTCACCGATCTTATTTCCGTAGTATGTGAGTACATCTCTTGACAAAAGCTACAAGCCAAATGATTGACTTGTGATGTCGTTGGAGAGATAAGAGCAAGTTTGAGGAGATTCGATACGCCATTGGTTTTGATCCATTCACTACAAAGGAAACATTTGCTATTTGGATAATATGCCCGAGCACGTTGTTCTTTTGGGGAATGAATAAACGACTCTTTTTTAGATTCTCTTAAGCATAAGTCGCGCAAAAGATCATGAATCCCACAACTTATTATTTTCCCACTAGTATTCAACCTTTCACGAATGAAAATCAAATTTCGCCCGATAAGATCTTTGATGTATTCCTCGCCAATCTCTTCCAAACTTTTATCAACCGAAGCCTTAATCAGTCCTTGAGCAACCCACGACTTAATAAGTTGAGAGATGTTAATTTCAGCATCTTCGTCAAAAACTCTCATATAGAGGAAACATACTTTGAGATGAATAGGCAAGTGAGTGTAACTTAAATGCAAAATATTTAGGCAATGCTCTTCGTCTTCTGAGTTACTTAATGCACTTAAATTATCCGCAACGAATTCCCAATACTCTCTCCTCATGTTTACGCTTGCAAGTAAGCTACCAATCACAACAATTTCTAGAGGAAGCCCTCTACAACTTTTGGCAATATTCTTACCAATTTTCTCTAACTCTGGATACGGACAACTTTCTTGTGCAAAGACTGTCTCACAAAATAACATCGAACTTTTCTTCTCATCTAGGAAAGCCATATAATATGGGTCGTCAGAGCCCACACAACTCGCCACCTTTGACAGCCTAGTAGTCATTATGATCCGACTTCCATTTTCATTATTGGGAAAGAAGTTACATAAATCATCCCAAGCTTGTGTACTCCACACGTCATCCATTACAATCAAATACCTTCTACCGAATAATTTTTTATGCAGTATCACCCCCAAATCATCCCAATTTTTACCTTCCTTTTTAATTTCTCCATTGTTCAAGAGGCCTTGAAGGATATCATCGACACTATAATTTTGAGATATAGTGAGCCAAATGCATATGTCAAAGTGCTCCTTAATATATGAAATTTCAAATAAATGTCTAGCCAAAGTAGTCTTACCAATCCCTCCCATCCCGACGATTGGAATAATCTGGAGATTAGATTTTATGCTGATCAACTTGTTCTTGATTGCAACCACATGTTCATCAAGTCCCACTTTAGTATTCCTGCCGTGGGGAAGAATTGTTGAACTTCTAAAGGGAACATAATGTTTTGGCTGTTTCTTCTTGTATTGATCCTTTGGCGACTCTTCAACCATCGACAGCTCTTTCTTGATGAAGTTAATCTTGTGAATGAGTCCCTCCAGATCTTCACAGAAAGCTACAAAACCAGAATCGTCTTGATCTTCCACAGTTCTCCGATGAAGTTGATTGATGACATGAAAGTCAAAAATTTCTTCGGCTTCGAAGCCAACTTTAGATATTTGCCTCAACAACGCTTCTATTCGTTGATCTTTCCTCTCAGAGTGAACCTCAACAAATTGCAGCAAAGAAATGATGATTTCCTTGATAGTTTCGATTTGTTTTATGTCTGCACAGAAGCGGCGAAGCTGAGCACGATAGTGAACGTTTTCGAGGACATGTGTAAGAGAAACCAATGATGCATAAGCAGCTACTGCCATCTCCAGCAGTATTCTGAAACCTGAATTCTTACAAAAAAACAAACAATGGAACATTTGTATGAAAGAGGCTTCTGTATGGAAATTAAAAAATTCAATCTGAATTCCTAGATGTACATATATTTTATTAGTTATAGATAAAATGTCAACTGAAATATGGTAGACGATTCTTTCTTTCTTTTTCTTTATTAATAATTTTTTAACAATAAGGCAACTTGTTCCAGAAAAGTAAACGGTTCTTGCATAACCAATTTGTGGATCATAATGCTGAGGGATTAAAGTAACATATTATTTCCAAGACCAAGTTGACAACTGTGTATCGATGAGTTTAGGGAACCTTAGCTGTAGACAACTATGCTAAGATTTCCAAAAATTTGCATATGAAGAATTGGAAGGACTGAATATTGTTCTTGAAAACAAAGGTAAAATTTTGTAGCTTTTGTAGAATGGTCTACAAAACAAAATATGTAAAATATTACTTAGCTTTGAAGTGATTATTACAGTCAATAAGTGAAAAATAAATAAAAGTTAAAAAGAAAAACTATCAAAATAACTTGAGCTGTAAACAAATAAATTGTTCTCAATTGGGTTTGATAATTTGTGTTTGTTAAGAGTTCATTCGCCAAGCTAAACAAACAGAACACAAATACAAATTTTAGTTCGCTACTGTTACCGTCGCCTGGAACCACTCAGATCAATGAGGCCTTACATGAACGAAGTCCGAGATAATAAAAAAATTGAGGTTCGACTTGATGGTGAACTCCCAAGGCTCGACAATTCACCTAAAAGTAAAAGTCTAGCATGTCGAGTGAAGCCTAGCATCATCAAGCGAGCCCAACAGCGTCGAACCGAAGTCGAGCTAGTTGCAGCACCATCGAACGAGATCCAGCAGCGTCCATGGAGGTCAGGCAGCGTTGAAAAAGCCTACCATCCTGAAATTTTTTGAAATGGAAGCCCATTGGAGATCCAGCAGAGCGTCGATGGAGGTAAGGCAGCTTTGTGTGGCATGCAGCCATACAACTTCCACAGATTGCATCAGGAGGTTTTATTTCCGGAAAACCTTCAACAAAATTATGTTTGGACAACATGCTTAAAGCATTAAAATTGAGATGATCATAGCAAAAATGCCAGAACCAAAGAAGATACTGCTAGTACTTTTGTTCCATTATCGAAAGTAAGTGGAATCATGTTGTTTTTGGCCATCGGAACTTGATATGAAAGCTTCTTCTTTGATTCGCCAGAGAAGACAAGGCAAGAATAATCTTCAATAACAACCAAATACCCATAACATAAGAACTGTTCAACGCTCAGCAGATTTGAATCTAAATGGATCATACTAAACATCTCTAATGCATATAGTACCATTACGGTCCAACAAAATAACACTTTTTCCTTGTGTTTCAAAAATTGTTCCATCACCCATCTTCACTCTAGTTTGGACTGATTTATCCAAAGAAGTGAAGGCCTTCGAGTTTGTTGTCATATGTTTACTACTCCCGCTCTCCACATAGCCGACACTAGATCCACAGATTCCAGAAGTATAACATGCAAGAAACAAACTTTCAGCAGCATCTTTGTATGTTTCTTTAACAAAATTTACTTGTTTCTCATTTTTCTCCTTCAATCTGCAATATTTCGGAATATATCCCAACTTATGACAATACTAGCACTTGAATTTACGAAATATTGTTTCCCCCACACGCAATTTCATTTTGGAAATGAAGTTTGGTCTAAAATGCCTTCTCAACAGGACCATGTTCATAACATTTATTCCTATCTTCATGAGATTGAAGTGTACCCAACAAATCATATACTCAGAAGAGTGCCTAACTCCTTTCATTTTTTCTGTAGCAGCAACAACAGATTCATACTTCCGTGGTAGATTTTGCAGAATTTTTTCAACCAACTTCTGGTCTGTCACTATTTCACCAAATTTTCTAATCTGATTCACTATCTACATCAAATTATTGGAATAATCATGGATAGTTCATTCTCCTTCATAAAGGAATTTTCAAATTTCCTACACAGGGTCTATAATTTAATAGTAAGAACCTTTGGAGTGCCTTGATAGCCATTCTTAAGGGTCAACCTATGCTTCTTTTGCTTTGGTTGCTGAATAAATCCTAGATGAAAAAATTGCATCATCGACCACCTTTTGAATGAAGAACAAAGCTTTAGAATCTTTCTTCTTGATCTCTTTCGAATTTTCAGCATCTGTCCGTCTCTGCATTGTAGCCTTTTTCAACAAATCCCACAGGTCTTGAGATATAAAAAGTGTTTTCTCATCTTGGTACTCCAGATTTTTTAATTATTGCCTTGAAAATTAGAATAGAGGGCTTTGAAACAGACTCCATTTGGGTTGCTTGCCATGAATCTGGCTTTGATACCAAATGTTCAAAACCAAGAGCAATTACAAAAGGGAAATAAATTGCATCGTTAAAGGAGAAAACAAAAACAAAACATTTCTTACACACATCTCCTACATACAGTTAAATAACATAACATAACTGCAAGACCAAACATGATGAAAACTACTGCAGGAAACTACCCATCCGTAATAATAGCATAAGTATCCAAATTATGCAAAACACTGTATAATTTTACCTAGAGGACCATCAACATGGCTCTACTTCTTCGATTCCTCCACCCTTGTTTTGGATGAGACACTTCTTAGACGGTTCAAGTATGTTGTTAGATCCTCGGTGTTATGGGAGATGCTCCAATAGTGTGAGCTCTGAGCTTGTAAATATGGAGCAGAAATCTCCGTTGCCTGGAATGCCTGTTTGCACCGAGGACACTCCAGATTCTTGTTCAAATACAAGTTTCGGTACTCAAAGTGTGTCTTGCACCAAATGCAAGATGTCCAAAATGTGTTTGGTTTTGTCTGGGTAGCACTCGACATGGACTGCACTGAGTCTGCTGCATTCTGATAGTGAGCAGCTGGATTTGAAGAAAAAAATTTGGGTGCAGATGTCCCTGTTGAAGACATATTATCATTCATAGGAGGCGGGGATGGATTAGGTACTCCGACTGCAGGAAACCTCGGCGGTACAGATCCTGAAAAGTTATCCTGACGGAAAGGAGTACCATGTGCGTTGAATTATGAATATCTCTCAGATGCGGTGCAGCGAAATGGTATTGCTGACTTGCTGTTGGTCTCGGAGGAAAACGTGATGGATCAGTAGAAGTCGAGAAAGCCATATGTTGAGCACTAGTTGAAGCAGCACTACCCCTTTGATTCCGAGGTAGTATGTTTATCTTCAGATTATAACCATTTCTGCTCTCTTTGTCGGATAGTACACTCCATGCCTGTGACAGTATTTGAAATGCCCCATCCGCACCAACTGATTTGTTCTTATCTGGGTGAAGGGAGAGGGCCATTCTCCGATACTGTTACTTCAATGTATCCTCATCAGCTAATGGATCGACCCCCAATATGCTATAATAATCGGGAAAATCATTTATTTTGCGGTCACTAGCAATGTGTATATTGATGATCTCGACGAATTGATTCAAGCCATCAAGTCCAGGAAAGAGACTTCGAGCCTTCAAAGCCAACCTCTTGGCTCCCTGATTGTCTCCGTCTAGTAATTTCTTTTCTGCCATTTCTTTGGCTCTTGTGGCTTCATCTTTGTTGCATACCATTTTTTGCTTTACTATAAAACACCGAACACATAGTTAAGACAAGAGAGAAAGGAAAAAAAACTTAATTAATTAAAGCAGATATATATTGCATAACTGAGGTATGATAATTTGAATTCCATGATTAACTTGCAATTTTTATAAGAAAAAATGGCAAAGTTTTTTCATGCATCTATGGAAAACGTAATGAATGAATACAACTTTGCTATTTATTAACAAGAGAAACTTGGATCAAAATGCTAATAGTGTAGCAAAAATCTGATGATTTGCATCTACTAGATTCTAAATACCAACAAATGATAGGATCTATAAAAGCTTCGTAGGAGTGAAAGCATATATGCTAGGTATATTGAATATTCGATTTAATTATAATAATAATAGGGTCATGTATGTTGAGAGATAATAAAATTAACATAATTTAGAAATTAAATATGCAAACAAGTGTAAAGGATATCTAAATTCAAAGTTAACTTGATATTAATATTACCACTTCCACAGGACTAAATTAGAATTCTCATGATTGATAATATTACATTACTAAGGGGATAAGCCAAAATATTGTAAATCTTAATTACAATGAGAGAATAAATCAGACATAATAATGACAAAAATAACAAGAAGAATAATAATAAACGAACAAAGATATGCCTTGATCTACAAACTTGTCATTTTTACGCAACTTGGAATAAGCATTCCAAATGAGCAAACTTATAAGACCGTAATAATTTTTTGAACAACTAAGACCAAATACCTATCTCTTCAAATTTGTTATATTTTAGCAAGGGAAAGAAATCAAAAATAAGTATTGCAACATAAATACCCTTTATTAATTAAAGATAATGCGACAAATTGAGTCCATTCGAAAAAAGGATTCATTAAAGCGCAACATTCTTATGAAGGGATAATCCAATGATTGTATGTAATGTACTATATTAATAAAAGATCAATAATGTGAAGCCGTCTAGACATACTTCACTAAAATAAAGTATATAAATATTTATGCAATTTCCATTTCCGTTCTTAAATGGGCTCACTGATGGATGGTTGATTTGCATACGAACAATTTTATAGTTATAGTAAAAAATAAGACTTGCCGGTAAGCTGAAGTTGAAAAAACTTGCAAGCCTTTGCAATAGTATACAAAACAAGAAGCATAGCTTGTCTAATATATTACCTTTCTACAAATATGATAGTTTTTATAACAACTTTAATGAGATGATGTTTTATAGCTAATATTAAATGGCAATTAGATTTTACATGTAATGCTAAAAATCAAGAAAATATTAAAAAGCTAGGGTTTTATCCCATCCTTTAATTTCGAAACCCTAGTTCCTTCATCATAACAACCTTGGAATAAAAAATAGTACAATTCATCTCAATGATATTAAAGTAATTCAATTAAAAAATATTTTCCATAATTTTATTGTCTACTCCATCAAAATAATTCATTCTCCTTAAAACTTTTAACATTTATATTACTTTCATCTAAAAAAAGAAAATATACAAAAGTAAGGTGATTTCAAAAGCAAACAACAAAGATCTAAAATCTATTGAGAAAAACAAATAAGATGAAGAAGAAAACATACAATTTCTTGAAGAAAACAGAGGATTGAGTAGATGCAGCAGGAAACAGAACAACAAAAGAAAAAATAACTAAGTTTGCAAAAATCTTTTTAATTTTATATATAAAAGGCCGGGGGCGAATCATGTGTGGCAGAGTGTTTGAACCTATATCCTCACAGTCACAATTCTAACCCCCACACCACCCTATTACAGTACATCTTTTTATTTTTTTAAGTTATATTTGTAATAATAATAATAATAATAATATATTATACTCTCCCTCTATCCTATTTGAAGGATATCATTTTTCACTATGATAATGATACTGTTTCCTTCAGTACCTTATAACTTCCAATATATTACACAAATAATATTACTTTTATATCATACTATAAGGGTATTTTTATCTTTTTCACTATAAACCAATATAATCTTAATATTAAAAAATCTACGTTAAAAAAGTAAACGTCACTCTTTTTGGAGACGGAGGTAGTACAACTTTTGATGAAAAAGACATTCTCTACAATCCCAAGCTTGCACATTTGCAAGTCTTACATCTTCATATTATTTGGAATTTCTTTTCTTAATCGAGAATTCACTCAACAAAAAATTATTATTGTTTTAAAAATAGTTATGAAAATTTTGTCAAATGTATGTGACTAACCATTTTATTATAAAATTGTCTATAAAAATGTATTAGCCAAAAAATATGTATTTAGTCGCTAAAATGATCATAGCTAATTTTTCTACAAAAACCTATATGACAAACTGAACTAAAATTTCCACATAATTATTAGACACATTATTTGCCAAAAATAGAAAAAGAAAATCATCGAATTTTGAAAAATATAATTAAAACAATAATTTTGATACACTATTTAGAAATAAGTTTGTTACTGATTTTGCGGATTATTTTTTCACATAGCATGATTAACTGCTATAAAATTTTCTACCGGTAATTAATATTAATAACTGAAACAACCACAAAATATAATTTATTTAGAATTGATTGATGTAATTTGTTTGAAATTGGTGGTATTATGTTGAATTTAATTTTTTTTATTTTTTTCTTTTGGTTTGGAATAGGTTGGGATTGGATTATTGTAATTCGGCTAGAATTGGTTTAATATATATTTTTATCTTTCTTCAAATATATTGAAATAGGTTGAATTTAATTTGTTTGAAATTGAATTAATGTAATTTGTTTTGAATATATTGTTGAAATATATTTAGTGTAGTTTGTTTGGAATGGCTATAATGTAATTTGTGTTTAGTCGGAATTATTTTAATGTAATTTTACTATAATTGGTAGCATGATTTAGAGATGCAATTAGCTAATGATTTAATCTTTAGCTAAACTTGATAACAATAGCTAGATATTGTATCCCTTGCAACACCTCAGAAAATCAAAATGAAATCCCATGCAATAATTTTGCCATAGACGAAGAAGCATCATAGAATGTTGTGATTGAAGGATTTGCGAGACTATATTTTGCTTTACAAATTCCATCACAATCAAAGTTTTGCTAGGGATTTTCTCTCGGCTAGGGAATTATTCCCTCGCTAAATTGTTAGTTTTTTTTTTTTTTTTTTTTTTGGTAGTGATTACATACTTTTTTTACTTGTAAGTTGTTTCGTGGAGTGGTTATATAAGATTTACATGGGCTCATTCATGATAAATTGAAGCCACTCAAGTATGCTAAAAATGGAGAAAAAATACTTTGAAAAACCGTAGTAGAAATGAGTTCTGTAAGAAGATTAGAAAGGATAGATCACAACAGATCCAAAAGTACTCTATTGGTTCTCTTCTAAACATTTCATTTTAAGTTCTGGTTAAGTGTAAGCCAAGCAAGGTAAAAATTTTAAGGTTCAATAGTAAAACAACATGTTATGATTTTAGTAAGTTTCAAGAACAATCTTATTTAGTCAAACACGTAGCACAAAACTATCATTATGCAAACTGTTTCAAGTGGAGACTAATCCCAAAGGAAGAGTGGTATGAAAAATTATGGGAACACATAAGGGATTGACTTTTCGCCTGATCAATTTTACGCTCAACGAAGTTACCTTTTCCAAAGCCTAGATTTTGTAGTTGCGGATTTGTCGGGGCACTGTTTTCGTTCCAAATACCGAAATCGCTGCAACAAGATGAGGTGGTAGGTCTTTTGTGAACACAAGCACTCTATTGCGGTCTGGTAGAAGAGTTTCTTCAACTACCACCTTTTGAAGTCCATGCGAATGAACGATTAGGACTTCGGATCTAGTGACATGATCCTCAGCTAGTGCTAAGTTTGGGCAAGAATTTGGACTGAAAATGCTATAGAGCTAGAGCCAACAACAAGCCCATGAAATCCGGAGAGGCAGTGGGAATCGGGATAGAAATTGGGCCGGCTTCAACAGTTGTGAGATTCCGCAGAAACTCAAGAGAGAATGTGGCAGCGTGTAAACCCAGGACATAGTCCAAGGTCTACCCTGTAGTTTTTGTTTTTTACTTTTTTATTTTACGGAAAAGAATAGATTAACTAATAAAATAGAATTTTAAAAATATAACCAAATCTAATAAAATACTACACATATTGTCTATCTACAGTGTCACACACGTGTCATCATTTAATTGGTTGAAATAGAAAATTCCGTCCCCTATGATCCATTTGGTAGTACATTCATTTCCATAATATCTAACTAAATTCTTCAAGTCAACTTAAACAACCCCTATAAGAGCAACCAGCGATTCTTATCACGATGTAGATGAAACGTCACCAGATGAAGAGCATCGCATTCATAACATCTAAGGAATGCAATACAATTACATCTAAAAAATGGTAAATTCTAAGTGTAGAATTGAAGGATAGATTGGGAACTGGGCACAACACTTTTGTCTTCACATAAGCTCTTATGAGCTCTACCTCACGAGTAGAAAAATGAATGAACCTGGAATTCTTATTATATTCCCAAAAATACACATATTTGATCCCTTATTATTAGCATAAACCGAGCCTTTAAAAGAGTTAGCATTGCAGTAGCTGACTATTTCAACACACTATAAGTTACATAACATTTTGTAAACTAATTCCATTAATTAATCATTAATCTTGGTCATTTCATTTCTCTGCCGCCAAATTCAAATTCAAGATATACAAATTTAAATTACACAACAAAAGTATCCAACAACTGAT